AGCAGCTATAGCACATCGACCTCGCAGCAGGGCTACAATGGCTACGGCCAGAGCAGCAGCAGCTATGCAGCGCACACATCTCAAACAAGTGCGCCGGCCAGCAGCAGCTATGCCACCCATAGCGCCGAGTACGATCAGAGCCAGTATCAGAGCTACAAGTGGGTGTCTTCCTCTAGACTTTAGACGTCTTCTAATTAATTTAAGACCTATTCTAATACACTTTTTGGTTGTTTCCGTGTAGCTCGACGGGCTATGCCGCACAGCAGGATACACGCTATCCGTCGTACAGCCAAGACTACAGCCAGCAGTACGGATCAACGGCTGTGGATTATAATGCGACTGGCCAGACGGACTACAGCCAGCATGGACAGCAGAGCGCCGCTGCCTACGATGAGCGAGCCTATGCAGGCTATGGTATGTGGACTGCCCTCGCTGCTTGTATCCTCCATCATCCCCGTTGTTTTTCCGTGTCTCTTTCTCATCTTGCAGACTCGCAGGCCTATTCGCAGAACTATTCGAATGCCGCCGCTTACTACTAGACAACCGCATACCCGTCTCCTCACCCGCAACCCTAGTGGCCAGACACCAACCAGACAGAGCAAAAGAACGCTGCGCGTGCTCCGATGATGGGCGGTCAAGTAACCAAATACAAAAAAAGGGAATTTTAGGGCAGAAACAACAAAGTAGCAAACAGAAATCATATACGATTATAACAGGAGGGAATGAAGGAAGGAAGTATATGTTTAATGCATAATTAATTTGCTATATATAATATATAATACAATACCAACACACACACTCACACCCAAAACACACACACACACATATAACATATATAACTGTAGACGTAAGGATAAAGTTCTTCTTTTCTTAGAAATTAAGCATAAACAACCAACCAACCATGTTGCTGCGTCTCTTTCCATAATCTTCTACCCTTAACCGAATCGAATCAAATTTCTCCCCCGATTGTATTTTTGCGTTGTTCCTTCCTCGAATCCCCCCGCATCCGCCTCAGCAGCTGAATCGATGAAAATCGATCTCAATTGCCCCTCTGTTGTTTAATGTTTTGTTAGTGGACAAACGGAGCCATGTGCTCCAGCCTAAAAAAAATTGAAAAGAAGCACACAAAAATATAGCATGTGCTCCTCCCCCCACCCCCTAATTTCTTTTACAATTTACAATTCAAGTGTGTGACCAAAGTATGTTTATAGATTCATATTTTTTTACATCAACTGAAAAAAAAACAGAATACCACATTGACAGTCGCGATCCGAACCACTGGATAGAACTGAAATAAAACTAAATTTATAGTGTAAATCATGTCATTGTCATGTCATGTATACAGAAGAATATTCTATTCGTTGTATAGATTTTAGTTGATAAGCTCAAAACCCACACTGAAACCACCCCAAAGCATACAATAATAAGCATCATCTGGAAACGGCTATGATTTTGCAAGATTGACAAAGGCCAGAATTTTTATTTCTTTTTTGGGTTTTTTTCTCCCTCTCTCCCCAAAACAAAACAAAAAAATTTCACAGTAGCCACAATTTAAGCAAACCGAAAAAGCACGTAACTATATGTAACTCTTATTAAATAAGCCCGAGGAAAAGTGACGAAATATACAAACAAATATATTAGCAAAAGATGCAAAAATCATAACAATTATCAAAGTCAATAAAATAATGTTCAAAAATGTGTGTAATGCATTAATCTTATTTACACGTACATATTATTATTTCAAAAAAAAAAATACTATATACTATTCTGTTTAAATAAATAAGCTAAAAAGAAACCAACAAAAAAATACAAATATTGAGTGCAAAGAAACACTTAAAAAAAAGAAAAGAAAAGACTGAAATATTCACGAAGCGAAGCAGCGCAGAAAAACTACAAGCATACAAATCAAAGACTTATCAGAGATAACGAAATACACTCAAGTATTAAGTATTTACCAAAAAAAGTATATATATATTGAGATCAAGCAAAAGAAAACTCAAGTGCAAAAAAGTATACCAGAGCCACAAGAACTTACCACAAAAAAGTCAAATCTGAAATGAAAGAAAAGAAAGATAATACTATACGCTTTGAAATGTTCTACGATTCAGTCCCTAGTGTCGCGATTAAATTTCTGATTATTCTGAAAACCCATTCAATTAGATAAAAATCTGAATCGTGTGAGATTGACAATCGAGAAAGCTTTAAGTACAAACAAACGAATATAAAATCTATTTAATCATTCTTTGGTAAGTTAAGATTGAAGCCAAACAATATACTACATATATACAAAACATTTTTTAGCTCATGAAGAACTCAGCAAGCATTAAAAAAAAAACAAAAATACTCGTACGCCTAAGTTTTATTTGATTATGTTTGTCCGATTTTAAAGATTGTGATCTGTGATCTATACTGTTCCATATATTTTTTTACCTAAGAAGTAAAGCAGCTGCTGAGTTCGGCATTAATCTCAAAGTTCGGCCCTTTTTGCCGCACTTAACCATATAAACTGTAGCATTTAGTTGTTTTTTTACAGGAATGAGAAAGCAAAGTTAACAAAATAGCGTTGATAGCGTTTAAATACCGCATATCAAGTGTGAAGGAAACGAACAAGAATGGATTTGTCAATGGTGGTAATATTAAAACAAACACAACACAATGAAAAATGACAAGTAACAAAATACCAAAACAAAACAAAAACCAACAAAAACTGAAAATATGAAATATTTTGTTTTCAATGTTGCACTTTTATGTTATTATATTTTTGTTTATGTATCCGATGATTTTGTTTGTTATAGTTTACAAAAAAGCAAGCCGAATAATTGATTTAGCCCTTACAAAGGCCAGGCAAAGGTGATGCAAATTTATATATGATTAAATATCGAAAAGACTGAATGATATTCCAACCCAAGAGACCAAAGTCTCCACAAAAATAAAGCAAGAACTGAAGTCCATTTTAAATACAATACAAATTCTAGTCATAAAAGGAATCACTCTAGTTTTGAAATATTAAATGTTCGAAATTGAACGAATTTATAATAAATGAATTTATACCAAGAACTGAACCCATTTGGTCACGTTCATGTGCAATCGGAGCAATAATGCTCTCAAAAACTTGAATTGCTATAAAGAAATGATACAGAATAATAAGAGAAGATGTCAGTAAGTCGAAGACAGAATCCAAATATCAACTGAAATGTTAAGAGATTGGAGAAAGATAACCATTTGTTAATGACATATATATTTTATTTTATACATATATAGAAATCAGATACCAACAATTATTTCACGTTTTTATGTCAAATGATTTGATTTAAATTATTCTATTATTTGTTTAATTTTTATTTGATTTAATAAAAGCGTTTACAAAAATGGCAACAACCAGAATATAATTAAATGCAATTAAATGCAAACTTTTAATGATTTTTTTTCAGCAAAGTACAAAAGTAATGAAAAGGCTGAATAAAAAAAAAAAAAACCGAAACCGGAGCGAATACATATATATATCAGCGATCTGCGGAACCCTATATACTTTAATAAGACTATACAAAATATAAAAATCAATGCGTTTGCTAGCTCTAACAAGGAAATTTAAGTGAAATGCAGTTTTAAGCAAACTTTGAATGGGTACCTTAAGTACTTCTTTGTGCCGCGAATTCCGTCTATAATCAGCTCTTAAAAATCATATATTTCCTGGTAATTTTGAGTCCGAATAAAAAGAACTATAGGACAGTTTTTCCAATTTTATATGCATTTTGAGTTCGTTAATAAACATTACTTTAGTAAGATAAAACAAAAAAATTGAAATGCATCTATGCGTTCGCTAGAGCTAAAAAGAAATTTCTGTGTCGCGAATACCGTCTACAAATTTCCCTTAAAAATTATTATTTTTTTTTTTAATAATTTGGAGTAAAATAAATAATAAAGAAAACTATCGTTAGAACAACTTTAACCATTTTCAATGCGTTCTGAGCTTAGCTCAAATATAAAACGTGAAACGTGATTAAGGTGCTATAAAAAAATAAATAAAATTATACAAACAAAACATTTGATTTTATTCATGATATGTATTTATTCAGATTTAATTATAAAAAAATATACTCATATGCATTGTGTTCCAATTTAAGGTGCTCTATGAAAATACATATATCATCGAAGAATATATTTGGCTTCCAGAAGTTCAGACATTGACCTAATTTTTGGCAATATTCCCTGGATTTGAAGTCTTGAGATGTCGGAAAGAAGTCGTTGCCAGATCTAGGCACAAAGAAAGAATATTGCAGAATACAAAGAGCAATATGTAGTTAAATCTTTATGGTAACTAAGTTAAATACAGTGCGGTGTAGTATCCATATGAAAATGGTTTATGGAAAATGTATTTTAATTCTCTCAATATCAGAGAATCACTGCCTCACTCTTACTCTTATTTGGTGTTGTCAATTTGACGGTAGACTGTAATACTTCTGATCAATGGTCTGCATTTTAATACTTTTAATATAAGGTAAAGAGGAATGCCTATAACGATCTATATACCGATATACCATATAAGTGAGAAATTTCAGGGAATTTATTATATACCTAGAATGGGATATTACGACTCATCGATAAGGATATGAATGATGAATGATTATTCATCTGGGCAAAAATACAGTCCGTTTGATTTCGGATATCTACAGGGGCCTAAACAAGCAAGGAAAAGCTGTCGAAATATAATTCACAATCTAAACTTCCTATATCCACCAAATTAATACTTATCTTAAAGGATGTTCAAGGGACTAGTTGCATAGTTGGGCTCTTTATAAAAGCAGTCAATGAATATCTCACTATTTGTCTGAGCATGTGACTTTTATTTAGTTATTTGATCCAAAAACTCTCCAGATAACTGCCAAACTAGATAGACCCCGATAATAACATAATCCCTTCAATACAAACCAGTTTCAATTGCATTTTGTCATGCATTTCATAAATTGAGAGGTAAAACTTGTCTTTATTCAAAAAACCAATCGAGGTATAGCATTGTTGTTGATATTTAATAATAGTGCTTCATGCTAGGGAAATATTTCTTGTGAGATATTTTTAACTGTAACAAGTACGTATTATGCCTTTCATTTGTATTAATGTAAATATCGAACAATAAAAATCCAAGAAGAAGAAAACTTTAAAAAAACATAAATAGAACGTTTTCGGGGGTCTTTGATTATGTACAAATACGTATGTGTGTGTTTTATGTGCAAGTTTCTAGAGACATTGGATACATCGATTCGCTATTTAGTGAACTAGAGAGCTTCCAATTGAATAAGTTTGTATGGTGTTGTGCTGGCGTTGATTACATTTACATAACTATGCTGGAGACGCCGAAAAATAAATTGTGCTCTGTGAACAGAAACGTTTTTTGTGCCGCTCGCTCGTTGGTCAAGGTCCTGTGTCGGGGGTCGTGGGTCCGTTCTGTGGAGGTCGAGGTTCGAACTGGGGCTGCGTAGATATGCCGGCTTCTTTATTCTCCTAACGACGCTTGCCAAAACGCAGGAACACGTGATCGACATCCGTACGTTTATTGTAGTTCTTCAGCAGATCGTCTGAGTTCGCCACCAGAGCTTCAATGGAATAAAACATAGTTCAGTGTTCAATGAATTAAAAAGGAAAGAAAATAAAACTCATGTTTACCCGAGGCCTCGTTGTTTATGTAGGACTTGAGGGCCGACGTCAGCTGGTCCGAGTTCTCCAGAGCCATGCACACCTTCTGGATGTGCTGGGGCATCTCCTGCACAATGCCAGCCTGGCACAGGGGCGGGCCCTGGGTGGCTGCTTGGGTGTTGGCCACGGCCGCCAGGACAATGGCCAGGCAGCAGGCGACGAAGAACTGTGCGAAGGACATGCTGCAGCAGAGGAGGGGCATTAGAAATGTGCAATAGACACGATTGGCATCGCTGGCAGATGTCAAGCGTATTCGATTAACAGGAGCAAGGACACAATGCTCGGGAGCCCGAGGTATAGCCTGGCTCGAGGGCAACAGTAACAGTCCAATCCTGCCATCCATCCAACCCCAACTAATTTTGATTAAGTGTAATGATCTTAACGCTACGTGCCTGATTGCCTGCCGTTCCCGTACCCCTACCCGTAGCCGTTGCCAGGACGATGTCTTATGCACAGCCAGAATGATGCCCGACTGCAGGCTCGCGGCTCCGATGTCTGTTCCCCCCGAATTCGTTTTAAATCCCCCTCCAAGGCGACAGCCCGGCCAAGCCCAGCCCTAATGCTCCTGTAATATATTTACGCGGAAGACAATTTGTTTCCATTATCCCAACAATATGTTTCACGGCCCTCCCCTCCCATTAGTGATGATGCTGATGAGATGCTGAGAAGCGCACTCATACGCCACGTGTGACGCATCAGGGTTGCAAGTGGACAAACACCTGTGAGCCTGTGACACATACGAACGTGTGGCCCGTGAAGCTGGTTAGCTTAAAAGCGGACCACCAGCGGATGGATACGAATGTGTGTGTGTGTGCAAGTGGGCATTGATGGAGAATTACGAGAAGATGCACCCAAGGCACGCTCCAAGGCTCTGTCGCTTGTTTAGGGCTTTCGAAGGCCCAACTAATGTGCAGGGCAGGCAGAAACATGATTTGCTCAGTGGCGAGTATGTAATATGTTTAATATATAAATACAGAATTCAAAAGAAGCTACACCTAGAAATGGTTTAGTACGGATATAATGAATATTTTTCTATATTTTCAGATGCTGTATATAGTTCTATAATATATTCAATATAATATAATTATCTTATCTAATATAATTATATAATCCCAATACATACATATGTAGGTACATTTTTCTAGTTCAATAATATCCATTTTACATTTTCAAATATATCCATGGGATACAAAACTATGAATTAGATGTTGGAAAACATAAAATTTAATTTAAATGGATCTTTTTTTTCTTGTTTTTTATGGAAATGTTTCAAATACTACTTATTACGGATTATAATGTATAATTGTATAATTTTAAATGGTCTCAAGCTCATAAACAAACATTAAGTATCTTTGGTTTCAAACACAGTAAATATTAAAAATGTTTTATATTAAAATTTCATAACCACGAATCTTAACAAAATTTAAAATTTCAGATATTCAGTTGTCGAAAAATAAAACGGAAAATGGAAGGTTCTGTACGAGTAATTGTATAGAGTTTTCATGGAATAAAGAATAAAGAAATAAAGAATAAAGAATAAAGAGTTCCTATTTCAAATGGATTTACAACTGTTTAGAAGAATCTGAAGCCAAGGTTTTTCTTTTGAAACAATTTACGTTTGATACTGTACACTTTATAGAATTTAAAATATATCCTCTTTTTTTATCTCAGGAAGGTCACATAAATTCACTTTAAAATCTGAATATATTCTACAAGTTTTCTATGGTCTACCTCCATTTTTTAACTATTTCGTAACTAAACATAATATCCACTATTCTGTCTACTCAGTCTCACCATAATTTGTTCACTTTAAAATCTAAAAACGTTCTTCAATTTTTTCATGGTCTACCTCCTCCTGGTAACTATTTCGAAACTATACCAATTTCACAAATGCATACTAATAGTATATGTACATATATTCTCAGTTTTAAACATCACTCGACTCTGCGTAAATGGAAACTAATACCAACCTGATAATAGTTGTTGATATATGAGGACTTCCGAAGAGAATTTATAGGCAATCAAACTAGATGTAGTTTATTTAACGCGTTTTGTCACTGGTTGCGGGATGCTGTGCTGCTCCTTTGGCTGGACTGGAACGAACTTGTTGAACGCAAGCACTCGAATGATGGTCTGTCGGGACAGGACATCCGCTTTTATTTACTTCCGCTCCGGCAGAATCCTAAACTGCCATTGGCTGGGGCGCAACGAAGCTAAGCCCACACACACACACACACACAAACACAATCATTGGGATGAGGGGTCGCCAGCCATGGTGCCACATGTTGCGCTGCTGCTGCCAGGATGCTTTGTGGGCGTGCTCAAATATTACCCATACGCCATGGACACCGACCACAGCACGATGCTCGGGCATTGTGTGTACTTATCAAAAACTTTCGGACTCTGGGACGGGCGGTGCAGATGAAGACCCACCGAGCGGCCCAATATGTTTGTTTATCTATTATGTAAGTTTATCAGCTCTTAATTGTGTTGTAAAAGTGGCTTCTATTTTATGATCAGTGGCCACCGTCTCAATACCCATATTTATAGGTAGTTATAGCGATTAATGTGCTCGTAAATGCGTACTTTGCAATGACAGCACTCGACTCCCTTTAAGAGCCCACTTTAAAGTTTCTCTCTCCTCGGTGCTGCTGCACTTTAGTCGCTCTGATGCTCTGCAGATGCGTAAGCAATGTAATCTTTCGTTTATGATGCTGGGATTTGCAGGCGAAGCACTGCAATTAATTTTATCCAGTCCGTGTTTCGAATGCTAAGCTTTCACCCATCCATCCATCTGTATGAGGACATTTTGGACTGCGACGTCAGAACTCCATCTCCAGCCACGTAATGCAGTGGGACTACCAAAAAGTACCAAATAGCTAATCAAATTGCTCTGTCTTTGATGTTGAAGGCATTTCTAACGAAATAACGAAGTGGGATGGCTGGAAAATTATTTACAGGCGAAATAAAGGCTGCGGTAAGGATTGGTATTTATTTACCCCTGTTCACCAGATTTCGCAATGTACCTGACCCTTGAAGAGGCATTTTAATATCCTTTGGGACTTTGAGGAGAATGTCTATAATGGTCCCTAGAAAGAATCTGATTTATGATCAATGAGTGTCTGCGAAAACGCTCAAGCTCTTTAGAAAGATATGGAATTGATTATGGAGGTTTTTACGGAAAACGGCGTCATTAAAGTGCGCTTCCTGGGGACGGTTCTCTGAAGCTTTATGAAGTGGGAGAAACTGCCTCAAAAGTAGACTCATATTTTAACCTATCTCGACTACATTTTACCTGGAAGCTAAGCTACCTGGAAGTCACTTTGAAAGCGAAAAAATGAAGGACTACCTCAAGGGAGGCAGAATTGACAACATCCATAAACGAACATCTCTGGGTCAATGTCAATGCACTAAAGACCTTGTAGGACTAGTACAAGCTTAACCTTTACGTGGAATAAAATGTAAATAAAATAAAATGCCGCTGAAGAAACGCTGGAGAGCAACCATCTCATGGTCCTTGTTTTCGTTTGGAAGCACGATTGACGGTTTCGATTGAAGATGCTCCAGTTAATCCCCAGCGATACAAAGCACTCTGTCACCCAGCTGCCCATAGCTAGTCCCTCTAGAAATACTCGGGAGCAGTTTAGACCTTTCCCAGAACATGTGCTTTCAGTCTTCAACAGTTAACCTAAGGTCCTGCACTCCATTTAATAAATTAGATAATCGGATAAGAGTATTCGCCTGTTTTTCTTTCCTATTCTCTTTAGCTAGTACACCATATTGTTGTGGATTCCCCCACTTTACTGGCACACTAATTGGGTTACGCTAACACTGTCATCTTTAATGTTCTGAGAGCAAACATTAAACCGAATAATGCAATGGCAAATGCCATATGTGCGGGCAAAAAGGCATTGGGAAGGGGACAACAATCCACCCAACAATGTCGCTGGAAATTTGCACAAAATTTGAATAAACTGATTGGGTGCCGAGTGGTACGAGTATGGGAAATAGTGCGTCAGAAGTGCCCGGGAAGGAAGGGCGTGATCGGAAGAGGGGATAGGCCATAGTGCCTGCCCAACGATTACCATTTAAATTAAAATATTCGCCCACTTGACGCGGCCTACGCTGGGTAATCGATGGAACAGCATATAGAAATTGGTTTAACTTTTATTATTTTGTTCTTTGGAATTGTACAGCCTACGACGTTTATTCAGTCCAACAGCTTGGCCACAATGGGATCGGGGGCGGACATCGCATAGCCCAGCTGCTGCAGGGCACGCCGGATCTCAGTGAAGACGCTCGCATCGTCGATGGTGGCCGGCAGGATCACACGCTCGTTACGGGCAAAGTCCGCCATAGCCTTGCGCATGGTCTTCCCAGAGCGAGTGCGTGGCAGATTGTTGACCGAGGTGATCAGCCGGAAGGCGGCAATGGGCCCCACCACATCGCGGATCAGCTTGATGATCTCGGTCGAGAGTTTGGCGTCCGTTTTCCGGCAATTCTCGACGGGTATGTAGAGGCAGAGCGGCACCTGTCCCTTGGTGGGCTCGGGCACACCGAAGACAGCCACATCGACCACGTCGGGGTGCCTGAGAACAGCATCCTCCAAACTGGAGGTGGAGATACGATGTCCAGCCACATTGATGACATCATCGTCGCGTGCCGTGACGAATATATAGCCACGTTCATCCTTATAGCCAGCATCCATGGTGTCGTAGTAGCCCTAGAATCAGAAAGATTTAAATACCAGTGGGAGAGCAATTCTCTGTATAAAAAAAACTCACTGGAAACTTTTGGAAGTACAGCTTGCGGAAGAGCTCCTCGTTCTTGTACAGCGTGGCCATGTTGCCCGGGGGCAGGGGCATCTTCAGTACAATTCTTCCCAGTTCCGAGGATTCACACTCGCTGCCATCGGGCTTTAGGATCTTGACTGCAAAAGAAAGGAATATTTTGAGAAATAGAAATACTAATAATTTGTGTGGCTAGCTCTTACCATCGTAGCCCATCAGGGGCAGACCCGTGGAGTAGGTGGGCGGACTGAGGCTCTGCTGAAAGCCCAGGCAGGTGGCAGTCACCGCCGAGCCCGTCTCCGTCTGCCACCAGTGGTTCAGTGCCGGCACCTTGAAGGTCTTCTCGATCCACATCTTCGTTTCGTAATCGCAGTGCTCGCCGGCAATGAAAATGGCACGCAGGGATTTCATAGAGTACTGCCGACCATAGCTGATGTCCGGATCGGCGCGACGGATCACCCGGAAGGAGGTTGGCACGGAAAAGATCGAACGGACCTTGTACTGATCGATGATCCTGCCGCGGAGATAGGAAGAGAATGAAGCATCAGGCTCACGCTCACCCGAAAGTGATCAGTGCGGGTCTCACCTAAAGTACTGTCCAGGATCTGGAGTGCGATCCGGTTTTCCCTCGTACATGACGCTGGTGGCGCCCAGGCAGAGGGGACCGTAGCAGATGTACGAGTGTCCCACCACCCAACCCATGTCGGAGGCAGCCCACCAAATGTCGCCCGGTCCTATGCCGTAGATACGCTTCAGCGTGTACATCAGGGCCACCAGATGGCCGCCAATGGTGCGGAGCACTCCCTTCGGCTTGTCGGTGGTGCCCGAGGTGTAGAGGATGTACAGCGGATCGTTGGCCTCGATGGGCACACAGGCAATAGGTTGGTTGGCATCTGCCATGGCCAGGACATCGGACCAGAGCACATCTGCCCCTTCGTCCACTGTGTCCACGGAGACATTGTCCCGCATGAAGATGATGTTGCGCTGGGGCGGGTGCCAGCGCGACATGTTGATGGCCGAGTGGAGGATTTCCAGATAGGGCACAACCTTGCCCGGCTCCACGCCCACATTCGAGGCGATCACAAGCTTCGGTTCCACATGCTCGATTCTCGAACAGAGCTCCCGTGCAGCAAAGCCGCCAAAGACCACCGAATGAATGGCTCCCAGGCGAACGATGGCCAGCATGGCAATGATCGTCTCCGGTATGAGCGGCATGTAGATCACCACACGATCCCCCTTGACCACGCCCATTTTGGCAAGGCCACCGGCCAGGAGGATGATCTGGTCGTAGAGCTCCTGGTAGGTGACACGGCGTACCGTTCCCGTCAGTGGGCTGTCGTGGATGAGGGCCACCTGCTCGCCCCTGCCCGCCAGAATGTGCCGATCGATGGCATTGTAGCAGGCATTCAGATAGCCCCCGACATACCATTTGCTGAAGGGTGGATTGCTGTTGTCCAGCACCTGCTGCCAAGGACGGTCCCAGTCCAGCAAGTGTCCCTGCTCCTCCCAGAAGGCCACCGGATTCTGAATACTCTGGCGATAGGCCTCCAGATAGGTGGGATCGTGTGCCTCGATGGGCATGCCACCGATGGAGGCACCTGAACAGAAGAGACGATGGGCATTAGTAAGACGACGATGGGTTCATTGTCCTACTGCGTCCAAGCGTGTAAGTTGGATGTTCTTCTTGGCTGCATACTAAGTTGGTGCATAAAATTAGGCGCCTAAACTAATTTACACCACTTTCCACCTTACACAACGCACGCCATTGGGCCCGAATTGAATTTTAAATACCTCTAAATGTCGCGGTCACTCAACTGATTTATATACTACTCGTACTCGGACATACGAGTATATGGTATATAGCCCGCCCCATGGGCTGTAGACGAGCATACGGGGCATACAGGCAGCCAGACAGAAAGAGAGACATAGTAGACATGGAAGCCTAATCCGCAGCACGTCATTGTGAGACTTGAAGCTTGGACTCCTCTAAGTCTACTCCGTATTGCATAAGCTAATGAGCCTAAGAATTTGAACTCCAATCAATTATATCATTAAGTGGGAATTTACGCATTGGATCGAAAGTTTTTATACAGGGGTATATACGCGTATCTATGATCTATATGTGCATACTTATACCTATATATCGTTACACACAGCTTTAAGGTTATTTCTCCGTTCTTCAATCAATCACACCATTTTAATATAACCCATGTAATATAGTAATCCTATTACAACACATAGTTTTCAGGTTATAGAACGAAGATGTAACCCTAAAAACCAGGAAATCTCACACTAAAGATTCTCACGTTCTTTCAATCGTTTGGAGATAACTTACTGCCTTCGTAATTCACGTAATTCACTGCACTTGAATCCGGTTCCATTCTATGTAGATATGTTAGTTGTTTTTTATTAGAAATTGGGTTTTTTGTGGGTATATGATGTATCCGTCCAAAAACAGCTGAAAACAAAACACAACCGTCGCACTCTAGTCGAGACCTTGCAATGGAACTGGAAAATGTAGAACGACAAGTAGACAACCAGAACCTTTAAGAATTAGTCGTCGATCAAAGGTGCTTTCTTGAATTCTCAGCAAATACTCATCGAGCAAAAGAGAGAACTGAAACGACGATATTACGGAACATTTAGCAAAGAGGAGCAATCCCCCAATATTACATTTCAATGAGTACCATCAATTGTCGGCACCATCCTCCTGGCAGAACGTCCAAGCAACCGAGGGGCGCTGTCGTATGACACGCAACCGAACCAGTCGCGTTCTTGTAGGAAAGATACATGTTGGTCTATTGATTGGGGAAGATTATAACTAATTTAAGTGCGCTAAAATAGCAAAGACTTCACCAAAAATATAAATATTAAAACTAATTACTGGAAACCCAGGTTAGGATTTGTACTTTGAGGAGAGCAAAGGAATTGGTGGTAGATAGATATACGATGTACAAAGCGGAAAGAACAAAGGTATAATGGTCATATTGGAACATCTGGGTAAAATTTAAGTCTTCCCTGATATGAAAGTGATTAAAGAACAGATGAGAACTATGATGACACGCGTAGATCTTGATGAACTAATTAACGACATAAGGATATAAAATTGAAAAGACAAGAAAATATTAACCATCAAATATAAGCTATTCATATATACAAAATATTAATGTAATTTAATATTTTTTCAGCTTAACTTAAATACAAAATGAAATTTTAAACTGTACGAGATGGAATAGTCCCTTAGTTCTTCTTCTTGGTATCCTTCTTGGTCTTTTTTGTGGGTGGTATATCTGCATCTGTACTTGTCTCAACACTGAATCCCTTGATGTAGGGCTTGACTAGTCGGAAGACCAACTTTTCGTGCTGCACATTGGACGAATCCAGACTCAATCGGACAGAGACTGGATCGAAGGAATGGAAGACCACATTGCCGCATCTCTGCGTGTGATCCTCCTCGTTGAATGTGAATATGACCTCGCTCTTGGTGCGCTCCACTCCATCTTTGCCGTCTTTGTCGGTCTTCAAATACAAAGTACCCTCGAGACCGTACTTGGGGATGAGCACTTGCAGGGCATTCTTCCGCACGAATAAGACATAACTAAAGGGAACAGAACTGTGTAAAACCAGAGTATTCAATGACTTTAACTTGTAGATCACATACCCCTCTTCGTCCTCCTCCTTGCCGCGGAAGAACAGATGCGTGTTGAGACCCACTGAGGCGCGAGCCGCATACTGTGCCATTTTATGGCGGTAGTTCAGGTTGTGGCACAGCTCTTCATTCGACTTGCGCTCCAGCAGCTGAGCATATGTGCTGTCGGCCCCAATCGAAGCAGCCAGCAGGCGATGCACCATTATGTCCGAGTACCGACGAATGGGAGATGTGAAATGCGTGTAGATGGGTGCGGCCAGGCCGTAATGGAAGAACTCCTCCTTCTGTAGGCTGCCGCTAATGAAGTAGACTGCCTGCATCATGCAGCGTGTGGTTAAAATGCGAATCATCGTGTTGAAATATGGATTGTCCTCCTTCACGCACTTGTCCAGCGAATGTGACAATACCAGACCCGTCTCCGTGTCCACCTGGAAGCCCTGATAGCGGGCAGCCTTCACCAGTGGATCAAAGTTGGTGGGCGGTGGCTTCGGATGGCGACGCAGGACAGCGCATTCCGTAAACTCGGCGGCTATGTGCTCCGCCACTGTGATATTGGCCAGCAACATGAATTCCTCCACCATGGAGTTGGTTTCGCGCATCTGTTTGGCCTCCACCTCGAGGGGCTCATGCGTTTCGCTGTCCACCTGGAAGCGGATCTCGGGTGAGGCCAGAACCAGGGCACCGTTATCCATACGTCGTTTCTTGAGGATCTTGGCCAGTCGATTCAAATGCCTCAGGGATTTGGCAATTTCACTTTGCTGCGTGGCATCATCGATCAGTACCTGCGCCTCCTCGTATGTCATGGCACGCTTGGACTTGATCACGCTCTTGTGGAAGCGTTTGTCAATCACATTCGCCTCCTTGTCCACCTCCCAGACACAGGAGAAGGCAAACCGCTCGACGCCACCCACCAGGGAGCACAGATTGGAGCTGAGCAACTCGGGCACCATGTCGATGCGCTTGCCCACCAAATAGACGGTGGTGCCGCGGGCAGCAGCCTCCTTATCCAAGGCATTCCCGGGCCGGATAAAGTGACTGACATCGGCTATGTGGACACCCACCTCGAAATTGCCATTGGGCAGCTCGCGACAATGGAGAGCATCATCGATGTCCGTGCAGCCGGGCGGATCCACCGAACAAATGTCGAGTTCGCGCAGATCCACACGTTTGGCATAGTCCTCCGCGGTGATGGACCAGGGCAGTTTTGGCAGAAAGCTGAGGACTTCCTCCGAGAATTTGCAGTGGGGGACGTCATGCTCCAGCAGGATCACCTCATTCTCGGTGGCCATGTCCCCGAGGGGTCCCAGAGAGCGCACAAAGTGCCCCTGCGGATAGCGCGAGTTCCGCGGCCACGTATCGATGGTCACAATGATGCGCTGATTCTGCAGCTTGGCCGCCTGACGCGTCTCGATGCGAATGCGGGGAATCTTGCGATCGGCGGGCACAAAAATATGACGATTCGTGTTCTCTATCAGGCTGGGCTGCAAGATGCCACAATACTGCCGCCATTTGCGCCGCACGATGCCCACAATCCGACCAGTGGGTGTGCGCTCTGCGGAGGCGGCAGCTGCCGCTTGCTGCACTTGCTTCAGCATGTCCTTTTCCTCTTCCGCGCGCTCCTCGCTCGGAACATCGTCAGCGTAGACGTTCTTCTCCTCTAGGACAATCTCACTGGGGGCCGACCACTCGCTCTCCGGCAAAAGTTCCACTGCCACCAGGTCTCCATCCACGGCCCGGTTAAGACACTCGCGACCTTGTATTAGAATCTATTTAAGATAAATGGAAATTAGGAAAAGTTATCAGCAAAAAGGTTTTACTCTGGAATACATACCCCCTTCTCGTAGGTCTCCACATTGACGCTGCCCTCGAGGTAGTTCTCTCTGGACGCCTGAAAGGCTCCCTGCAACAGCTTCTTTAGCCGCAGACCCTCGAGGACCTGCTTCATGCTCAAATGTGCTGGATACTGCGGCAATGCCTGCTTCTCGTTGTCGAAGGTTTTGTGAGACAATTTGTCCAGCAGCAGGGGAAAATCTTCAAGAGATTTCACATACTCTGAGGCTGAGGCCACTAGGATACCTTCTGCTTCTGCCTTGGCCCGGTTACCGGCATCGTCAGTGAGCAGGACAACCCGAGTGTTGGCCATGCCGCTTTGCTCAAACTCCTTGGACGACTGCGATGTCTCCAGATGGGTGTCATACCACTTGGTAGCCATGCGAATGGCGCGATCATTACGATCGTTGGCAGTTTCCCCCGGATCCCGATCGGCATAGGTGTCCCTGAAATACAAACGTTCGTAATATATGGCTTTGGGCTCTATTGAGGCATGGGCTTCCACTTACTTGTGATGCTCATTGACAAACACATAGAAATTCCTGGTGCGATCATGAATGATCTCGTTGAAGCGCTTGTAGATGGACGAGCTTTTGTGCTTCACCTCGTTCAGCACTGTGGTCAGCACAATCACATTATGCAGCACATCCTCCTCCAGCACATCGATCTGATCCAGCACCACATTGGTGTCCAACACCAGGTAGTGAGGAAACTTGAAGAGGCTGCTGGCGATCTCATGCTTCGACGTCAATTGATAAACCTCGTTTTGAAAGCAATATTTGCACAGATCCGAGCCGCAACCGATGTCATCGCGTAGGTAGTGCTCTCGTACAATTTTAAGGATGTTTCCACGCTTAGTTTTACGCGTGAATTCGCGTAAAGTCTGCATTTTAAAAAAGTTTTTACAACATGTGCAGTGTCTGACACGAACTTAACCCATTAAACCCCCTTAATTTAAGCAAGATATCAACTTGAGTGAAACAGCGGAAAATAAAAAAAGAACACTAAATCTTTCACCTGAAATTCATAATTTTCGTGTAGTGTATTTAATACCACCTGGCCGACAATGGGTTAATGTACACTTTCCACTATCAAAAATCATATTCCCCGATTTTTATATTCGGCTTAATATTACTAGCTAGCTAGGACCCTCAGCCCTGAACACATAATTTTATCCGATTTATACCAAAATTTTCTACAAAATTGGCTAATTTTTAAGACTAATTTTTTGTGGATTTTTATTAAAATAAGGTTTAAACAAAAAAGGTCAAATTATAAATTGTTGCTATAAATTTGTTTGACTTTGCGTCTTTTACAGCACATATCCCGCGCAACTAAATTTTTAAATATATTTTGATAAACCCAATAAAACTATTAAATATATTTTGTTTTGTCAAGCTTTTAATGTTACTGATTAATAATCAGTTTTTTTCATAAAGTTCACCATATATGTAAAACAACGCCGATTTCCATGGACCAACAATTTTCCGCCACCGACTCTATTTTTTCATTTATCAGCACTGACTCTGAATTTGTTCGTCGACGCACGTGTGCAAAGGGAGGGCACGTTGAAGTTAAATTTTTAATATTTAAAGCAATTAAATTCAGTTTCAACAATGGTTCCTAATGAAAAAAGTTTCCCGCGTGGCGGCATAATCCATGCAGAAGCCAAATCAGCAAACTCCAACATTGTAGGCTTGCGCAGCAACAGTTTTCACCTGCCGTTCTTACAGATTTTCCCCCTGTTTTTCAGATTTTTGGTGCGACACAGAAGAAGGCTAAAAAGGGACAACAAAGCAAAGCAAAGGATAGCTTTCTGAAGGAGCTCACCGAAGAATACAATGATCAGCTGGAATCGGCATCTGCGGAAACGCTCAGGCTTGACACCCTACAGGAGGACATGCTGGTTATGGGAGTCGTCAAGGAAAGCAGCGCCATTTCTCTGCAGATCGCCATACCCGGACGGATGACAGCTCGTACTCAGGTGGGTGAAATATCGGAGGCCTACACACGCGTCGCTCAATCGGCAATGGCTGGCGAAACGAGTGACTATCACGATCTGACAGAGCTCTTCCCCGTGGGCACCATTGTGTATGGCAAAGCCATCAAAACAGATAAGCCGGGCAGCAATCGAACCTCCGTGCTGTTGTCCCTCAAGCCAGCCGATGTCCATGAGAGGCTGCACCACAAGAACATCAAGAAGGGATTTGTCTTTTCCGGTGCCATATCTGAGGCTCTGGAGCACGGCTATGTGATTGAAACGGGCATCCAGGGCCTGACGGCCTTTGTGGCCTGCGAGGCGGCAGAGCAAACGCTGCACGTCGGACAATTGGCGTTCCTCAAAGTGAAGCAAGTCAAACACGATGCCAGCACTAGCAGTTGCACCTGCGTCCACGTACAGCAGGATGCGTTGAAGATCAAGAGCCAGAATGAATCGAATCTGGACTACATTCTGCCTGGCAGTATTGTCAGGTTCAAGGTGTCGAAACACCTAAAGGACGGCCTCAAGGGCAGCATCATGAACGAATCATTCACGGCCTACGTAAACGAACATCACATGGCCAATGCTCTGGAAACCCCCGAGGACTACGAGCTGAACGAGGAGTACCATACCCGTGTGCTGTATGTCATGCCTCTGACCAAACTGGTCTACCTGACGCTCAATCTGGACATCAAGCAGACAGCAGAAGACGTGGAGGACCAGGTGGAGGAGCCGCTCAAGCCAGGCTCGATCGTGGAGAAGGCCAAGGTCCTACGCCTGGGCAGTGGTGGTGTGGTGCTGCTGCTCAATAAAAAGCTGAAGGCCATCCTTTCCTACGGCTCCATCAAGGCAAACTTCAAAGGAAACTACGACAAGGACGAGGTGCTGTCCAAGTATGGTCGCAAAACCAAGCATAAAGTACGCGTCCTAGGCTACGATATGATAGAATCGCTATACTACTGCTCCGACGATCCCAATCTGGTCAACGAGAAGCTCTACAGCCTGGAAGATCTCAATCCGGGGGATATTGTCACCGCAAAGATGATCAAAAAGGACGAGAAAATCAACGGCTGGACAGTGAAGATTGGCAGGCTGAATGGCATCATCGATCAGCTCTATTTGGCCAACAATCTCCGCTACGAGGCGGGCCAACGCGTGCGCTGTCGCGTCCTCGACATTAGCCTGGATCGCAAGACCTGTTATTTGAGCAATCGCAGCGAATACCTGCGGAAGGATGCCAAGCTGTTGACCAGTCTATCGGCTGCCCACGAAGGTGGCGTCTACCTGGGCACCGTTGTCCGCTGTGAGCCTGGCTATATCCTGGTGAAGTTCGGGGATGGCATCAAGGGTGTCCTCCATCGCCAGAACCTGAGCGAGAAGAGCTCGCTTTCGTTCTTTGAGGGCCAGACCACAACGTTCCGGATACTGAGCCGCAACAAGGATCAGATCACCTTGACGCTGCCCGAGGATAAGTTCCAGCTGGGCGAGATCTGTCCCGTGGAGATAACTAATGCATTGGATGCGGGTCTCGAGATGAAAATCACCTATCCCGCCGATGAGGACGAAGATGCAGACCAGGACGACGAGCAAGAGCCAAAGATAGAGGAATTTCTGGGCCTCATTCCATCCAGCCTGCTGTCGGATCACGTGGAACTGATTGCCGCCCAGAAGCGCATCCATCCGGTGGGCTCGCACACGGAGGCCGCCTGCATTGGCCAGAATATTTTCAGCCTCCGCGATGTCCCGTACTTCAGTGGCCAGCTCACCACGGACTGGAAGACCGTCCAAGTGGGGGACATAGTCCGGGCGTATGTCAAAAATGTATCCACCGATCAGGTGGTGGATCTTATGGTGGCCATACGCGACTACAACAAGGTGGTGAAGGTGCACGTGAAGATGCTGCGCCTGAATGCCGTGCGGGCATTGCCCGTTGATCTTACGCCCGATCAGCTGCTGTACGTGAAGGTTCTCAGCAAATCTGTGGAGACCAAGACGCTGACAGTCTCGGCCAAACTCACGGATGTGTGGAGCGGGGATCTGGGCGAGACGGCCAAGCTGGTGGAGAGGTAAAAGAGCAGCCCGAACATAGTTCTAAGGAGTCTTCATTAACACTTGTATTTCCTTGCAGCTATTTCGATGAATTGATGCAGATTAGGTCTGTGCTGAAGGAGAAATCAGCACCCATTGCCAAATTCGATTTGGGGAAAACCATCAGCGTGATCTTCAAGGGCATTGATCCGGTGTCCAACGATTGGCTCTATACAGTAGAGGGCTCTCCAAAGGTGAAGGCTCTGCTGGTCTCCAGTCTGGCTCCAGCAGGCAGCGCCGTCACCCCTCAGGTGGGCAGCAAACAGCCGGCCGTGATCTTGTGGATCGATTATGCCGAGGATCTGCTGCTTGTCAGCACCAAGAAGGTGGATATTGAGCACATCAATACCCAATGGCTGATACCCAGCAATCTCATTGGCAAGACCGGAATGAAGGCCAAGGTTTTGCTTAAACTGGACTCCGTTATCGTCTGCTCTCTAAAGAAAGGCGTCAATCCGTTGGTCATCTGCCCCGTGCGGCTGCATGCCAACGATGTGGAGAACTCGGGCAGTGCGGGTCTGCGGCCCGGAGATTTTTGCAATATTGGATTCATACACGAAGAGCTGCCCATCGCTGTGCCAGAGACAGTCTGGCGTTTGTGGAAGGGCACAAAGCGAGCAGCAACAGCGACAGCAGATGAAACCCTGGGTCCAGTTAAGGCCAAGAAGGCCAAGATTGAGGCAGCTCCAGTCAAGAGCAAGCAGGAAAAGATTGAGGCAGCTCCAGCCAAGTCCAAGAAGGCCAAGGCGGAGCCAACTCCCACCAAACGAAAGGCTGAAGAGGCAGTACAGCCACAGCCGCCTACTAATGGACAGAAGAAGATTGAGTCCCTGACAAATGGCATCTCCAAAAAGCAGAATGGCCAATTCTTTGAGGACAAAACCCCAGCGAAAAGTGCAAAGGTAAATGCAGAGACAGCTAAGGGTAACGCCACACAGCATGAGGCGGCCAAGGCCCGCATGCCAGGTGTTGCCAATTTCTGGGAGAGCGACTTAAACCAGACGAAAGATGCATCCAGCGACGAGGAGGAGGATGAGCCAACAACTGCCGAAACTCAGACAAACTCCAACAAAAAGAAGCGTCTCAGTGCCAAGGAGAAGGCCAAAGCGGAAGTCAAGGAAGAGCAGCGCCTGCGGGAAATCGAGGAACGCAATGCCGATCCCCAGGCTCGACTGGAGACCATCGACCAGTACGAACGTCTGGTCATTGCCCAGCCAAACAACAGCATGTCCTGGCTGAAGTACATTTCGTTCCTTCTGTCCAACACGGAGATTGAGAAGGCACGCGATCTGGCCCGAAGAGCCATCGCAACGATTTCCTTCCGCGAACCGCAGGAACTGCGAAACATTTGGAGTGCCCTGCTCAGCATGGAGCTCGCCTACGGCAACAACTTTGATGAGGTGCTCAAGGAGGCACTGCAGAGCAATGATCCCCTGGAGACGTACATCAGTGTGGTCGACATTCTGAAGAAGAACAACCAACGGGAGCGCCTCTCCTCGGTGCTCGTCATCCTTCTGAAGAAGTTCAAGTCTGAGCCGAAGGTGTGGCGTCTGGTGGCTGAAGCCTACTTCTGGCTGGGAAAATCCGATCAGGTTCATTCCCTGCTGCAACGGGCCCTGCACTCGCTGCCAAACCCAGAGCGTAAGCATATCCCTTACACTGTTTAAGAACATTCCCTAATCCGCATTTTTCTCTAAATCTCTTCAGACATCAACCTCATTGTGGCCTTTGCCAAGTTGTACGAGAATAACGATGACAAGGACATGGCCCAGACGCTGCTCGACGACATTGTCACTTCGTATCCGAAACGCATTGACATCTGGAGTGTCTACGTGGATATGCTGATCAAAACGGGACAAATTGACTCCGCGAGGTAAGCTAATACAAGTAGAGATGTAATGTTACATCATGAGTTGCCTCCCAGGGAAGTCATTTGAGTTCACATATTCTGTATTGTATTTCTAAATGATCAACGCTCTTCAACAAGGTCGTAACGTAATGTGTAACAGATGTAAGAAGCCTTCCCAATGGAAATCTAAGCTTTTTGTCTGTCGGCTGAGTTGAAAGATGATCTGATAGCTATTTGTCCGTCTGTTAATTTAAAAATATCTATCTCAGGCTGAGACTTTCCTCCTTGATGGGATTGTTGAATCCCCACCAGCAATTCACACTTTACCTACAAGATAGGGTCGTGCCGATTACTGCTGTAAATCTCAGCCCTACAAATGGTTCCATTTCTCTTCCCTTCAATCGTATTATCTTAAAATAAACTGAACTCATATGGATACTCCTATACTTCCAATAGAAACGTTTTGGATCGTGCTGTGCAGCAGAAGTTGAAGCCCGAGAAGATGCGAGTGATCTACAAAAAGTATCTGACACTGGAGAAAAAACATGGCTCCAAGGCGACAGAGGCCAAGGTGATGCAGGAGGCTGAGGAGTGGGTGAAGAACTTCACCAAGTCAATCTAGTTCCACTACTAGATGCGTAGATCCATAGATCCGAAGATCCGTAGATAGATGATTAAGAGATTAAGGAAACCATTTAAATACAGTGTTTTTTTTATGAATACTTTTATTCTAAAACTATTTTAAATGAAGTGTGATTTCCGCGAGTGTGCTAATCTTGTGTTTCGTGTGTATGTATATGCATAATATATATATATATAGAGATACATATAAAAGTAAGTGCCTGTGGCACACAACCCAACCTACATGCACACGATGTAGAAGCTGCTGCAGACGTGAGAGAGGCTTCCTGGCTGCCACACAGAAAATGAATCGTAGAACTTAAGGACAATCATTGAAAATAGTATTCTTCTTGCAGTGCATATAATGAATTTCAATGGATATGGGGCGTTATGGGATACTACACATTACAACATAATGCTTAAGATTAGGGGGGAGAAAGGAGGCGTCGATGTGCCTCTGGATCCTTGGACGATTACGATGACGAAGTGGTTGTTGACGTGGTTTTTACTCTTACACATTAATCAATAAGGGAAAGGGATTTACCCTCGCATATGCTGGCTCTTTTTAATTAGATTTTTAGATTTAATTTATACATAAAACAGTCTGGTGTCTGGTGCATATGGTGGTCTGGTCTGGTCACTCCTTGAAGATGCCTCGCGCCTTGGCCGATATCTTGCGCACTCTTCCGCGACTGCTCACGCTCACCATTTGCTCGTCGCTGTCCCCAGAGATGTCGCCACCACCCCCACCCCCATCCCCGTCCTCCGGCTGCTCCTCCTCATCTTCCGCTCCGGATTGCTCTTCCGGCGATTGCTCTCCTCGTTCCTCCTGTGAGCTACTGGCATGGGCATCGCCATTGCGCATACGTTTACGCTGATGTTGTGCTCTGCGCGGATCGGTTTGCTCCTCATCGGACTGCTCATTGTAGCGGGGTCTCTTCTGATTGCGACCGCCACCGCGTTGATTGTTGCCGCGCTGCCGATCGGCCCGGCGGGAGGAAATGCTACGCGGCACCACATAGTCCTCATCATCATCGTTGTCATTTTCATTCTCATTTTCATTGACGACCGAGTTGTCCGAGGGCGGACGACGCGCCGGTGGCGGTCTTCGCTGACGCTGCGACGAGCGCTCTTGTGCGGCCGCCGTCGCTGACGACGAGGAGGATTTGGTCTTGATCCGGGTCCGAGTCCTCCCATTGCTGGGCGACACATAGCTGGTCAATGGCTGATTGTCTTCGGAATCGGTGGCAGAGGCTTCCTCATTCTCTTCCTCCTCATCTTCATCGTCCTCGTCGTTGGTCTGAGAACTGGACCCACCATCAGTGCCCTCATCGGAGGCAGCAGCATCCTCATCCTCGTCCTCGTCCTGATCCTCCTCCTCTTCCTCGTCCTGAGAGTTGGCCTGACTCGTGCGTCCACGCAGACCCCGTCGGGTCCCCACATTGCTATGGCTATTGCTATTGCTGTTGCTGTTTGTCGTGGAGGTGGGTCGCCTGTGGTTGGCAATGGCTTGGATCAGTCGTGTGTTCTCCAGCGGATCTGTGCTCGTGTCCAGCTCATCGGCATTCCGCTGATGCCGCGACAAAATGCGTCTCGGTGGTGCCCTGGACGCGTTCACAGTTCCCAGATAATTGTGGTCATGGGTGGCCACGGCAGGACTATCCTCCCGATGGTTTGGAGCAGAGGTCGATATGGAGGAGGTCGTGGAGGTGGCATGGGAGCGCGTCATATGCGTGCTCCTTTGGGGCGGCGGTGAGGCCAGTCTTCGGCGCAGTGCCAGAGGATGAGGTGGTGCTGCCGCCTGTGATACGGCAATGGCTGTGCTACTTTTTGCGGGTGTTTCTAAAATTCAACACACACTGTTAGCTGTTGTCTTTATTACTGGATGGCTGTGGTGGCTACTCACTCTGCTGATTGTTCGCCAGCGGCTCGTTATCGCTGTCATCGTCATCATCGTCGTCCTCGCTCGGGACCTGATTGATGGCCGTGTTGCGATTCGTACGCAACTGGCGAGACGGAGCTGGGCCGACTATACCCAAAGCGGCGCGGCTGGTCGATGGCATATCGTCTTTTGTGGGTGTGGGAAGGATCTGGAAGACAAAAGAGATTTGTGGTTAATCGAATAACATTTCTCAATATCCTTCACACGCACCTCTTCAGCCTCGTCGCTGTCCTCTTCCTCCTCTTCTTCAATATCACTGCCACGACCCCAGTCGAGAATCGCCCGCTTGGCGCTCTGACGCGTGGGTCTCGCCACGGGACCATGCGAGTCCGTGTCGGACTCAATGATCCGACCATTGCGCACTGGCAGGTGGTAGCTGTGATCATTCTCGGCCGCATGGTGGGACGTGGATGTGGTGGCTCTCCCACCATTGGCCCGCGTATTCCGTGAGGGACTCTCCAAGCTGGGATCGAGGGCAGTGGATGCAGCAGCAGCCGCTGCTGCTGCAGCAGCGGCCGCACTGGTACTGGGGCCATTGTCTGTGGCCTGAAACCTGGAATTTACCTGGGATCTGCCCCTTCGGCGGGTCACATTGCTGTGGCTGTCCTGCGTGCTCTCGTCCTGCTGGGAATGGGAGGCGGCCTCTTCGGAGCTTCCCAAACCACGACGCGTGCGTCGAGTGGTGGCCGAGACTGCTCCTCCACGACTGCTGCCCGCAGGGCTCTTGTCCAGGCGGCGACGTTTCGTGTTCGAGTGTCCGTTTCTGTTGGCAGACTTTCGCTTCTTCCCTCCGCGGCTGCTGCGTCCCCCATTGGGGTTGTAGCTGTCCTCGGAATCATTTGGATTGGACTCATCGTCGACGAGACGCTGGCGCGGTCTTCCACGTCGCGGTCGAGCCTGCTGCGGTGAACTGGCATTGGTGTGGGCATCGTCCTCTTCTTCCTCGTCACTGCTGGCATCTGAGGTCGCCTGGGCACTGGTCTCCTCTTCGTCCTCCTCCTCATCGTCGCTGCTGCTGCTGTTTTGATGGCGTCTCTGTTGGGCCGCAGATGAGGAGGAGGTCACACGATTTGAGCCCGAGTGGGTGGAACTGGCCGTAACGGCCACCCCGTTGCGGCGTCGCGAACGTTGGGCACGCGCCACCGCCTCCTCATCATCATCATCGTCATCGTCGTCATCTTCGTCCTCATCCTCACTCGTGTGCGGCAATGGCAGTCTCCTGGGTGCCGTTTGCGGCTTCTGATTGCGACGCGTGGTCCGCTCCTTGTTCGGGCGTTTGCTGGGACTGCTGGAAGTTCCACGTCCGCCCCCACTGCTCCCAGACTTGTTCTTGTTGGCGCGTCTGCGTGCCGCCTTCCAATTGGTGACGACCGTCTTGATGCGCGACTCGAACAGGGCGCTCAAACGGAGGGTCATCGAGTAGATCTGCAAGAAAGAGAACAAGGAGAAGGCGGACCGCCCATTAGGATTAGGATTGGGTTTGGACTGGGCCGTTAGATTGTTAGTAGTTAGCCCTCCGAAGGGGGAGAAGACCTTACCGCTAGGTTATCCTATAGATAGATGATAGAGTCACGTAGATCGTCATTCATTTGGTTCGTTATTAGATATCGAAATGTTTGATGGGTTTTTATATTTATATTTTTGATATTCGATACACGATATTCGATAGACATTTTAATGGTTTATGAGGTTTTCGAGTTTAGGGTATTCGAGATATTCGAAATGGAAGGCATGTTCACGGTAGGCAAAAGAAACGTAAAGAATAGATGGATGAGCTTTTGCATGTGTGTGGCTAATGTGAGCGTGTGTGTGTGTGTGGGTGTGCTTTAAAAGGGTTTTTTTTTTTCAGTACGACTGCAAGACCATCGATATATCGACATATCTATCGAACAATGGGAGTTCCTCGTTAGAAACGATATATAAAACCTTGATCTATCGCCCAATTTCAAGAATTCATCGATTTTATCGATACTGTCATCGATGGTTTTGCAGTTACATTTTGAGAAATGGAACGAACAAGAAGGAACAATGGAACCAAAAAAAACCAAACGAACAAAAATCAAAGTCAAAAACAAAAGCAACGAATACGAGAGATGCCCCCTGTGATCGCTGATCATCTTGAGTCATAGAAAGCAATAAATGACGATCTGCAACCGATCTGATCTGCCGCCATATCTACAAGGGACAGATGCGAGTGGTCTCTGTCTGTTCCCAGGCACTCACCCGCGAGCGTTTGTTGGTATTGTAGTTCTTGGAGTTCTGGAATATCAATCGGACATCCTTGGCAAAGTCCATGGGATCATCATAGTTGCCACCCAGCAAGTCCTCCTTCACCGTCCGCAGATCCATCGGAGTGGCAATGATTTCCAAATAGTCCGGAAACTCAATGGTGTCCACTGGCTCACGGAATGGCAACGAATCCGGCCGCTGCCACATCAAATCCAACAGCTGCCGGCAATCCGAGCGCCAATCCCCATCCGAGTGCATGCGAGTGGACCTGCAGAAAGGGACCCAATATGTGTTAATATTTTGATATTTAACATTCAACATTAAACCTACCTTCGGGTGGAGGAAACACGTTGTCGTGCGGCTGCTGCCGCGGCGGATGTGGTGGGTCCGGTGCTGGTTGAGGGAACAACATCAGAGTCAGCCTCATTCTCGGACTCGGACGAATGATAGACATCCACTAGCTGATGGTAGACGGCAGCCACATCAATCTCATCCGCCTCCCTGATGATGCGCAGGCACAGATCCGTCACAATCCGCGCATGCTTCACAATGATCGTGTGCCGACGATTGTACTGCTCCGCATTGGTGGCCAAATACCGCACATCGAACTGTGCGGAGGTGATGCGTCGGTAAAAGTGATTCTCGAAACGTGACTTGACCGTGGTCAGATCGATCGGATACTCGATCAGGTAGGCATAGTCGGGATATATGTTGAGGTCGACGGGTGCCAAGAAATGCTCTGCGATGGACAGACGCATCACCTGTTCGAGGCCATTGATGATGCGGCGACAGGTGCCGTCGCGGTCGCCTCGATGCCACTCCTCGGACTTGGGCTGATAGAGCGTTGCGCGTATTTCCTCGGGCAGGACTGGCACGGCGCCACCGACTTCATCCGGCACTCGTTGCTGGTCGATCGGCTCCATATCCCAGGGACTCATGCGCTCGTACTCTCCATTATCCCAGCGTACGCGAAAGCACATGAAAAACGAGTCCGGAAAGTCGGCGCACAGGGCGTGACGGGACTCGATCTGTCCCATCCACCAGCCGTCGCCGATCATGCAGCGAAAACGATCACCAATGCTCCAGTTGCGCTGCACGGCCAGATCGAACGTCTGCCGCAGCACCAGAAAGTCCAGGACATCGGGCATATCATGATATTTGATCTTAAACGAGGTCCCCGTCATGTTGCCGTCCTCATCGATGATGGCCATCTTTAGGCAGCACAGCCGGGGCGGACGTATCTCATACTTGATGCCAATCACCCGCACCAGCTCGTGGTCGCGCAGCGTGTGAAAGTTCCATGGCTCCGAGCTGTGCGACAGTTTGTAGACCTTCTTCAGGCGCACGGCATCCAAGTAGCTCTGGTGGCCCTGACGAAAGTACACCACTTCGTCGCCCATCTGCGGATAGTACGGAGTCTTGCGCGGTATCACCTCGGACAACCACTCGGCGGGTCTGTACAGCTCCGGGATTTCACCGTTGACATCCGTGGGCGGGAACAGCACTGTCTTTCGGCCCACCTTCCTGGCCGTCACTTGTCCTTGGCCCTGGCCACTGCCACCGCTGGCAGCTGCTCCGACAGCTCTGCCGGCTGCATCCTCATCGCTGCTATCGTCGCTACTGTGGGGGCGACGGGTCAGTGGTTTGCGCTTAGATCGTTTGGGCGGCTCTAGATTGGGTCCCGGTGTATCCGCCACCCAATCGGAGTAGTCAGAGCTGTCCGTGTCCGAATCGTCGCTGCTCTCGTCTAGATTCGCCTCCACATTCGAGTAGCTGGTGTCCCCCGACGAATTGCTGGACACATCATCCTCCTCCTCTTCGTGTGCCGGGGGCACATCCTGTTCGTAGTGGTGCTCCTGTTCTTGATCTCTCACCGCTCGGGTACGATATGCTGGCGCCAGTGGTCCGACCACTTGTCCCGGTCCAGGCGGAGCGTTACGCCGCCTGCCGGGTCGGCCGGCCCCATTGGCCCTCGTGTTCCGTGGCCGGCCCATGCTGCCGCTCGTCTGCTGGGCCGACGCCGCACTGGCAGTATTGATCATGATGGGTCGCCGTCGCATCTCCCGTTTGTACTCTTGCTTCTCGTACAGTCCGGCGGAATAGCTCACTTGCTTGATGTTTTGCAACTGGGCGTACTTCATGGGACGCACATAGGTCCGGCGGACGAACTTCAAAGGCAATGCCTGCTGAGGCGAAGCCTGCTGAGCAGCTGGTGCAGCTTCCTCTGGACCTGCTTCCTGGGCCAATGCGGGCTCGTCCGGCGGCGCTGCTGCTCCCCAGCCATGACGTGGCGTGCCCAAACGTCCGCCTAAAACATTTCCGCGCGCAGATTGTCTACTGTTTGAGTTGGGCTGCTGCTGTTGCTGCTGCTCCTGACGCTGGCGGTTGGTCAAACGTTCAAACGATTGATTGCCATTGCTCGCATTCGATTCGTTGGCATTGGCACTGCCGACCGACTGGCGATTGGCCAAGGCCGCAATCATGCGATCTATGTGGGAATAGCCTGAAGGTCCAGCAGCAGCAGCCGGTGCGGCGGGTGCAACGGCTACACTGGCATTCAGCGGGGGATTCGCAGCATTCGCAGTCAGATTATCCTCAATGACCACACCATCCACACCCACAGTGAGATTGGGTGTCAACTGATCAATGGTGCAGCTTTCACGGCCGGGTACGAAACGTTGATACTTTGTGGGGTGTGGATTGCCATCGGCATCGACGAGAAAAGGTGGTGGCATCAAATGCGGCATTATCTGCGTCTGTTCGTCCACCACATGATGCTGGGCATCGCGCAGCAGTGGCCGGAAATCTGTGTGAAAGAAAAGCTCAGCGGGCAGCTGGCCAATCGAAAAGGAAATGGAAAACAGTTGAAATAAACAAATGACAGATGGAAAACATTAAGCACTCACCATGGAGTACTTATCCTTGCACATTCCCAGGCCAAAGATCATGATATGACCATGCGAATCGGTGGCAGCTATCATTGTGCCATCCGGCGACCATTTGGCATCGAACACGCTGCCATGGCCCTGCCCGTCGATGTCATTGAAGAACTCGGTGACCATCACGCCCTGTTCAATGTCCCAGAGGAACACCTGACCATCGTGGCCGGCGGAGAGCAGTACGTGCTCGTCCCTGGGGTTCGATTCGAGGACGTACAGCTCATCCTTGTGGCCGCGCAGGACACGATGCAGCTTGGCTGATTTCGAGTCCCAGATTTTGATCTGTACCGGGAAAGATATACATTAAAGACGGAGTGCTCTCCGCGTAAGGGATTGCTACGCTACTCACGGTGAAATCATTGACGGCAGTGATGACATAACGATCTGAGGCATCCCAGGCCACCATTGTGACCTTTAGCTTCTTGCCCTCTTCAGGCTCCGGGCAGCTGTCAAACGGAAGGAGTTACAAAGGAGAAGGAAAAGAATCTTATGGCTATAACGCACCTGGCCAACCGTTCGGTCATGCACAGCTTGACGCTCTTCCACTGCTGCGACTCAAAGGTCCAAATGTGTGCGGTGCCATCCTTGCTGCCGGATATGAACCTCAGGCCACGATGCGACCACTGCACCGAATCCACGGCATCAGTGTACGCTTCCGTTTCCAGTATTCTTTTGGGCCCATCTTCGCCCATCATGTAAACACGGACATGATGGTCCGCAGAGCCGGCAGCCAGAAACATGCCGCCCGGCGAGAACGTGGTGCACATCATCTGCGCCTGTCCCGGTCGCAGCTTCTCGTGGTACTGCGTGGGCTTTGGAGCGAACGTGATCTTCTGGCCACGTGGCGTCGAATACTGCCAGAAGGCAATGGAACCGTCTGTGCTGGTGGTCACCAAGTATCGCAAGTCGCTGCGTGGCGATGGGCAAAAGTTCACGGACGTTATCATGCCCGTGTGGGCGGAGAGGACAGCAATGGGGGAGGTGGTCTGCATGTCCCACACACGCAGAATGCGGTCCACCGATCCGGCGGCCAGCATTGTGTTGTCCAGGTTGATGGCAATGTCCGTGATCTCGGCCGAGGCACCGCGCAACGTCGCCAGGAGGCGCCCATCCGCCGCAGACCAGATCTTGATAAGCAGATCATCGGCTCCCGTGATAATGTAACGTCCAGTGCGGTCGAAAAGCACGCAGTACACGGAGGATAGGTGGCCCACGGTGCGGCGCAGCAAAATAGTCTTTTTATACAGCTCCGTGGGCACCAGGAGCTTGCGACGAACTTCCCCGCCATACTCCCGGCCAGCTAGTACCCGGGCTAAAGGAATCAAAAAAGTACCTTAACATTTTTCAAATCCGTTTCAAAAGGTCATTCATCGTCTACTCACTTATATTGTGGGTGCGCTTGGTATAGTCTGCATCTGGCAGTGATACGTCATGGAGGCGAGTACAGTAATCCCTGAGAGAACGATGCCCGTAAATGGTGTCCTGCGTACGCAGAAGATTTTGCCGACCAGTGCCAAGGAGCGAAAATATGCCTGGCACACTGCCCGGATATTGCCGTTCCACTAGCGGACCTAGTCGACCGCATAATTCCTGCAAATGATTGTCACCAATATGCGTGTATTTTTGTTCCTGCAACAGATTAAATTCAAATTAATAACGATGCTTTTTTTTATCGATAACCAATGCCACGATGAATCGCAGGCAGCTGTTACGCACACAAGCGATGTACGTATAACCGTCTCGCTCTGGCGAGCACAAGTCCGGGGGTTGTTTGTGTATGTGTATGCATGTGAAGCATGCTTATGTATGGAAAAGCAAGATGTCGGCTGCTGGCAGACTAATTGTTGTAAAAAAATTACTATGCAATTTTTAATTTTGGGTTTTTCTTCAAAAATTACTCAAAATTACACATTTTAAACATTTTTGTAGATTAATTGTGCACTTTAAAATATTTCAATTTTTTTAATCAATCTTTAATAATTTCCAATTTATTTATTAATTAATTTACCAAAATGTTTGATTAATGCACTTTTTATTTTAAGATTTTCCACAAATTAATTTACACACACGCGTGCATTCTACGGTGTCGCCGCTAAATCAATCGATTTGCGCGTGACGTCACAAAAAGGCACGCACAAAGAGAGAGGAAGCGCGACAAGCGAAAGAAGTTTTCCCACTTATGCAAGACACGCACCACACACAAAGAAAATGCAAGGAAATGAAACTAGAAACCAATTAAAACACTCACCAATTCGGCAAAGGTCTGCTGATGCTCATTTCCCAGCCAGTCAATGCGTCGCGGCAGAACCTGTGGAGAAAGGTAGAAGAGGTGGGGAGAAGGGAATATGAGCTGTTATCACTTGCACCGCTGCCTGCTTGCTGCGCTGACGAACATCGAAACAATGACGTAGTCAACGGGGCAGGGAGGACTACAACGTCACCGACAATTCTTCTTTTTTAGCAAGCGGACAGACCAGGCAGACTATCGGGCGGGCTACCCCGGGGCCCAAAAGCTAGCGGACTATGGTTTCAGTTGTCAGTATAGCTTGAACTGTGATATAAAACCGACGTAGGCTTTGTGTCGCTGCTGCTTCTCTTGCCGGCAGCAGAAACAACAACAAACCCCAAACAAAAATATATAAACAAACGCAGGGCAGAGTTTTTGCATAAACCGTGATACCGAGATGCCCCCGCCCCAAATCAGTTGTAGCGGCGACCCAGGAATCGTCAGGTCTGTGGCCCCACTCTTACATTCTTCTGCTGCAGCTCCTGGATTAACACCTGTAAGGTTGCAAACGATGGATGCAGTTAGTAAAATGGATGTAAACGCAAACCAAAAGATTCAAACGTTGAAAATTGCGCTCTTTTTTGAGGAGCAGAAGCCTCAACGCCTTCCAATCACACCGACCTTTGCCGTCTCATGCAGGGGCCCCGCTGTCAGGAACTTCGATATGAGGAAGTATAACTCTGCAAGAAGAACAATTCCACAGAATAAGTGCAACAGTTGGGTGGCCAAATAGCATTATTATACGAAAATTTCAACTTTTCGTATGGATGTTCTTGCAATTCGACTCGCGGCCATTCAGCCCAGGCATCGCGAATGCACAGCCATCGAGCCCATCGCAAAAGCACACACCTCTCCCGGGGCTGCGGGAGGCTCTGGGCAGCCATATTTTTGCACACACTTATTGTATTCGATTAAACGTACCTGGCACTATCACATCATTACAACTGGGCTGGCTATTTGCCATTATTCATTGCGAACTACAGCTCGGATTATTACAAAATTGTAGTTGCTTTCTTCCAAAAATTCTCTTTTCAGCTTCTTCTTCACTGTCACATTATCGATGAACCTCAGAAATATACTGAAGTAGCCGACTCGCTTTCAAAATATACCGATGACAAAACGAGCTTAGCCCACTTAGGCCCCCCTTTTTAAACAGTTCAACGACTTGAGATAAATGGTTTGTTTGTTGAGGTAAATATTATTCATTGTAAATTCTTCTTGTAGATCTATGCCATCTTGTTCCATCTTTCCTCTGAACTTAAAACAAAAACATGACATCTTTCACCTGAACTGCGCTAAAATGATTAAATTTGCATTATTTTCGGTGGAATATAAAAATACCCCCTTGGTCTACATTGGGTTAATCGTTCTCCGTCAAGGATTGGAAACCATATTCCGTGGAATATTAATACTAGCTATTAATTTGATCCTTCAGACCTGCCCACACAATTTTCTTCAATTAATGGACATATTTTCTACTTGACTTGTTCATTTTAAATACTTGTTATTGGTTTTTTCCTAAAAAAAAGATTTTGGCGAAATAAGGTCAATTAAAAAACGGAAAAGAGTAATCGTTTCTATTGCTCAATTTTTATATTTCGTTGAATAATTCTGGTTAACTATGGCCCTTAGCTCTGCCCACATAGTTTTATCACAGTGTTAAATAAAATGTCTACAAGATTAACTACTTGTAAATACTCCCATGTATTGTATTTCGTCTAAAGCAAGGTTTAAACAAAAAAACAGCTTAGATCTTGGCCTTTAGATGAAGCACCTGGTCGGTGACACGCGTGATAAGGGGATCAAGCTCGTTGTCTGCGAGATGAGTGCCCCACAGTTCGAACAGCGTTTCCCAGGCCAGTTCAACCGAGTTTCCAGAATCCGTCGTGTTGAATGTCTGCAGCGTAAGAAAGATGACTGCGTCTGCTGCAATGGGGCTGTAAGTGTCGCAAATCGTATGCAAGGCACGTGCCGAGCTAGGAGGAATCTGCAAAAACCACAAATTTTTAACAAGTTGAGGTTTTAATCCACTGTACGTGTTTTGCTGTTCTACCTACCTCATTGAGACTGACGATGCGAAATACTTTGCCGTCTTTCAATTTCTTCTGGAACTGCGCAATGCCAAATCCGTAGTCTTCGGTGGGCGGTGCAAAGTCATCTATGCTCATATGCATAAGCTTCCCAGGTCTACCTGTTGGTATCAATTGACAAGGAGAGCGGTTCAAGCATACATAAGTAAATATGTACATATATGATCAGGGGTAACATACCAAAACAGCCGGACGCCTCAATGGTAATATTTTCAATGAGTGTCATTAGGCTCTTATCTTCATGCAGAAACAGAAACACACTGGGTCTCGGGTCACGCTTATTGATCAGTCCTTCAATCCCTTTTTGTAGAGCCCTCCATACTCTTTCCGACTGTATGGGTTTGATCCTACGCAGATTCTCAAAATCACAGCGTTTCTCCGCAGTGTAAAATTGCCCGTAGAACATCGATAGAGAAATGGCTAAGATAAGAGCAATAACTGCATACAAGTACCTTCTCGTTTGGTTGAAGGGCACCACATCCATAGCTTCGCCCCCCGAGGTTTGATCATCCTCATCAGATGAACCTTCTTCAAAGTTAGCTACTGACTCCGGAATGTAGTCTTCTTTGTATTTATTATCCAACAAGTTATTTAGAAGGTGCTCGTTATTATCCATCGCATCAAAATATTGCGAAACAGGTCGTTTGGGGCTTTTGGAATTATTACAAAATTGTAGTCGCTTTCTTCCAAAAATTCTTTTTTCAGCTTCTTCTTCACTGTCGCATTATCGATGAACCTCAGAAATATACTGAAGTAGCCGACTCGCTTTCAAAATATACCGATGAAAAACGAGCTTAGCCCACTTAGGCCCCCCTATTTAAAAAGTTCAACGACTTGAGGTAAATGGTTTGTTTGTTGAGGTAAATATTATTCATTGTAAATTCTTCTTGCAGATCAATGCCATTTTGTTCCATCTTTCCTCTGAACTAAAAAAAACATGATATCTTTCACCTGAACTGCGCTAAATTGATTAAATTTGCATTATTTTCGGTGGAATATAAAAATACCCCCTTGGTCTACATTGGGTTAATCGTTTTCCGTCAAGGATTAGAAACCATATTCCTCGATTTTGATATTCCGTAGAATATTACTAGCTAGTTTGATCCCTCAGCCCTCCCCACACAAATTTATTCAATTAATGAAACTATTTTCTTGTTTATTTTAAATGCTTGTTTTTATTGGATTTTGTCTAAAAAAAAAGATTTTGGCGAAAAAGGTAAAATAAAAAACGGAAGAGTAATCGTTTCTATTGCTCAATTTTGATATTCCGTTGAATAATTCTGGTTAGCTATGGCCCTTAGCTCTGCCCACATAGTTTTATCACAGTGTTAAATAAAATGTCTACAAGATTAACTACTTGTAAGTACTCCCATTTATTGTATTTTGTCTAAAACAAGGTTTAAACAAAAACACAGCTTAGATCTTGCCCTTTAGATGAAGCACCTGGTCGGTGACACGCGTGATAAGGGGATCAAGCTCGTTGTCTGCGAGATGAGTGCCCCACAGTTCGAACAGCGTTTCCAGTTTCCAGAATCCGTCGTGTTGAATGTCTGCAGCGTAAGAAAGATGACTGCGTCTGCTGCAATGGGGCTGTAAGTGTCGCAAATCGTATGCAAGGCACGTGCCGAGCTAGGAGGAATCTGCAAAAACCACAAATTTTTAACAAGTTGAGATTTTAATCCACTGTACGTGTTTTGCTGTTCTATCTACCTCATTGAGACTGACGATGCGAAATACTTTACCGTCTTTCAATTTCTTCTGGAACTGCGCAATGCCAAATCCGTAGTCTTCGGTGGGCAGTGCAAAGTCATCTATGTTCATATGCATAAGCTTCCCAGGTTTAGCTGTTGGTATTAATTGACAAGGAGAGCGGTTCAAGCATACATACATATGTAAATATGTACATATATGATCAGGGGTAACATACCAAAACAGTCGGACGCCTCAAGGGTAATATTTTCAATGAGTGTCATTAGGCTCTTATCTTCATGCAGAAACAGAAACACTCTGGGTCTCGGGTCACGCTTATTGATCAGTCCTTCAATCCCTTTTTGTAGAGCCCTCCATACTCTTTCCGACTGTATGGGTTTGATCTCGCGCAGCTTCTCAAAAGCACAGCTTTTCTCCGCAGTGTTAAATTGCCTGGCGATAAAAATGAACATAAAAGGAATAACAGCATAAAAGTACCCGATGAACCTTCTTCAAAGTTAGCTTCGCGAAAAAGGTCGTTTGGGGCTTTCGGTGTTATTACCTATATGCAGACTACGTCGCGCAGCCTTTTTATTGCATAAACGTAACAAATTGTTTTGTTTAAAGTGAATGAGTGACTAGGATATGAATGCTAGTTTAATAGATTGATGAAACCAAACAGTTCCTTTTGACGTCCTTTTAATGGTCACCCTGTGATTCTTTCGATAGGCAAATAACATCGATAGGATAGATGGAAAGGTTTGAAAGGGGATATGTAATAATACTGTCAAAATAACAAATCCTGACTGAAAACCTCAAGTTTAATAAGGGTAATTCCTTCTATTTTAGAATCTTAACAGATAGATCTTGAATGGAATTGGTGTAATATGCTATGATATACTTAAATACTGACTTCGATTAAAAATGGGCTGGAATTCAAACGATAGACTACGATAGTACCGACATTGCTCATCTCTAGTTAACTTATTCGCGATAATTATTTTTAGGTGATATTTTCCAATTCTCATGTAATAAAAACCATTTGGTACAGGAAACAAATAGCAATAAATGTGCACAGTAATTGTCGTTCGAAACAGATAGTGCGAAAACTCTCAGCATGGAGTGCAACCTGGGCAGCGAAATAGGCCTGAAGATGCGCGTAAGTCTCTTTTTGCGGAAAATCAATGAACTTCGTAATCTAAGAAAAACCAATTTAGAGTGCCGTCAAGGCGAAGCTGCTGGAACTGGGCACGGGCGGCTCATCCGGCTTTATAGACGACGAACTGCCGGACTATGTGATGGTGATGGTAGCCAACAAACGCACCAAACAGCAAATGGCCGCCGAACTAAATCTCTTTCTGGGCGACCAGACGGATCTGTTTGTCACCTGGCTGCACGAAGTTCTCCAGAAGCTGCAGGAAGTCACATTGCCCACAGCAAGTGGTGAGTGTTGTGGTTTTCTTTATCCACCGTGGGCCACAATCTAATCGAACCTGATCGACTTGCCAGCTTCCAGCAAAAAGCGCAGGTCTCGTCAGCTCGAGGCTTGTCCCAAATCAAAGGAAAAGGACAAGAAACACTCGAAGAAGGACAAACGGTTGCAAAGGAGGTCGGGCGATGAAATGCCAGATGGACAGTCTGGCTCTGCCGATGCCATGCCCGTCATTAGCTCCATAACCGATGCCTTTGCGGAGGAGCTGCTGGAGAAAGCAAAAAAATCCCTGGACATCGACCTCAATGCCAAGGATGAGATCGTACACAAAAAGAAACGCAAGTCAGTAGAAAGCGAAGAAGAAACAGGTGACACAGATGTGCCCCCGATCTCAGAGATAAGCCCAACAGCCCCCAGCGGAGTCAATCGGCAGAAGGATCTGGCAGAGTTGGCTGAGATTCAAAAGAAAATCCATGCGGCCAAGAAGCATTTGCGCCAGATAGGCGAAATAGAGGACGACAGTGATGTGGAGGAAGACGGCGACGAGGATCTCTTGAACATAAACGAACAGGAGGAGGAGCCGGAGATCCAACAGTCCCCCGTTGAAGACATACAAGAAGAGGTACCTCCCGCACGCAAAGCCAAAAGTCCTATTGTTTTCAAGAGGCGAGAGAAAACTCCTCCGGAGCAGCGTGCCGAGACGGAAAATGAAGCACGCCAGGCGGTGGAGATGGACGTAGAGATTGAGAAGGAAAAAGATAAGCCCAAGGAAGAGCGCTCTGAACGACGTTCGGTTCACGACCGTCTGGGCTCCAAACAGATCGCACAGCCGCCAATAGAGCGCCCTCAGCGCGGCCAAAAAGAGCTATATGTCCCCGCACATCGAAGACGCATGGAGGCCTCGGACGCGCAGCCCCCCAAGGAGCGCAGCCAGCGAGAGAGGTCAAGGGAACGTCGCTCCAGCCGCGACAATCTCAGAGAATCGAATCGTGCCCATCGCCAGCGACGTTCACCCAGCCCAGAGACACCCAAGGCAAAGCAACGCATTGGATCGCGTGTCATTGTGGCAGTCCACAAGCCGCCAGAGCCCTCGGATGACGAAGATATGGCAGACAAGCCTGTCAACTCGGTCATCAAGATCAAGCCCAGGCCCCAGGTCTCCCCGAGAAGACAAGCTTGCAAGAATCTGCTCATGAGAGCTGTGGCCGATGCCCAGAGGTCCACGATTCTTGCCAAGTCGCCGGCGCCTTTGATAAAGAAGGATTGTGAGGAGGTGGAATTAGTCAGCAGCACATCGTTAGGCAAACGAAAGGCCCCAGAAAAGGGGGATCGCGATCGATCGCGAGACCGTGCCAAGCGAAGTGCACCCACCCCGGAGCTGTTCAGGCGCAGCACTCGGGAGTTGGTGGTCAATGTAATGCAACGGGGGGACACGGCAGGCAAACAACACTCCTCCGCCGGTGCCCGACGCTCCAACGACAGTCATGCCGAGATGAAGCTGAAGCTGGTCGAGGAAGAGTATGGCCCCAGTCTAGTGGCCGAAGACTATGAACCGTATGTGCCCCAGTTGTTGAATCACGTGGATAATATAGACTTGCACATTCGATCGCCGGAGACGAGGCCCAGCTCTAGAGGGCCCAAAACTCAATTTGTGGTGACCCTGAATGGTGATAAAACCTCAACGTCAGGCAGCAGGGACCGGGACCCTTATCGCAAGCGGAGTATCTCGGCGAAACGCTCATCCTCGCCTGTAGCCACGACGCCACAACAAGTGACCTCTTCCAGTGCGGAACCGACTGCTGCCACAGCTGCTGCCTCCTCCTCCACTACGGTCGACAGACGCCGCAAATCCAATCGAGCATTAAGCATCACCCCATCGCCCACTTCGAGCCCATCTCATCATCAAATCACACGAAGTCTGAAGCGCAATGAGGTGATCAGGAAGCAACAGGAAATCCAAAAGATCATCATCAAGAATGATACGGACGAGGATGATGAATCGCACGGTGCATTGCCGCCAAAGAAGTCACAGTTGCCACACAAGCGACTCCCGAGCAGCAGTTCATTGGCTTCCGCCAATGGTCACAAGGAAAAAAGAGCAAAGGCTGCCACTGAAGAGCGCTCTAACACGCCACCACTGCCGGCCACTGGCCTTCAACCCTTGCCCAGACTGGAGAAGCGAGCTGTCAGCAAAGAAAAATCTGAAAATGAAAATTCAAGTGTGGAACCATTGACGGCACCGGTGTCCGTAATCGTTCCAGCGTCACCAAAAAACAAACACACTCCCATTCGCTTTACTTTGAGGTCCGAGGAAAAGTCACAGGCACAGCCACAGGCACCGCCTGCCCAAAGGAAGCGTCGGTCGGGCAGTCACGAGCGTGATTCATCGTTGGAAAGGCGCAAGGTACCACTACGGAATCTAGAGGATAGAAAATATGACAATTTGCCGGCATGTAAGTGAAGTCACAAACAAGATACAAATGATCGCATTACTTCAACTCTTATTGTTTCCGCAGTAAGTGCCGTCAGCGTGGACTCGGCCGTGATGAAGGTCAGCAAGCCCAAAGAGCGTTGTAAGTATCATCCGAGCTGCACAAAACAATTCTGCGAGTACTACCATCCGACAGCGCCGTGCAAGTCTTTTCCCAATTGCAAGTTTGCCGACAAATGCATGTACTCGCATCCCAAGTGCATGTACGATATGTCGTGCATGAGCATTGACTGCAATTACGCACACAGCGGCCAGCGGGATCTTAGCCATGTGCAGCTAACGGCTCCGCCTCTATGTAAGTGCAGCATTGAATTATTTATGATCCCCCCACTCATCATTTCTGTATCTCTTCCTTCGATAGCCTCCCATGTTATACCGGTTCAGAACTATAAATCAATATCGGCCCCCATGACGGCCACCACAGCAACCACGATGTGCAAATACTATCCCAATTGCACCAAGGTGGGTTGTACCTTCTATCATCCAAAGCCATGCCGATTTGGCAAGAATTGCGTCAATAAGCTGGAGTGCGTCTTCTATCATCCGGAGATGCAGAGCAAGTTCAAATGGGTCGCCTCGATGGGCTGAGCGAACATACACCCCATAAGTTTTAACAATATTTAGCTAATGTCATTTTATCCACTATTCCCTGCTCTTGGCTCCCGGCTTCCTGCTATGTCAGATCCCCGCTATATCCATAACTATACACTAAAACCTTTTTTCTATTGTATTGGATTTAGGAGCTGGGAGTTCTTATACACTACACAGAGATCTGTGTAACAACCATTTCATTTCATTTATGCATTTGATTTGCACACATTTTATATTAGACATTAGCTGCTATCTAACTCTATCACGACAAACAATCGTTCAATAGGATCTGTTTCTTGCATACAATCATAATCTACACGTCATGCAAAGGTCTGCGAATTAAATTAGCAATAGTTGCAACAAATTGGAAAATTGAATGGCGTTTCTTTGGGTGCCGATCTCCAAAATATGTAGGGAACATGGAATGGATCTGATCTAATTTGGTTTGCAAATAAATATTTCTAAGCCAGTTTTTGGAATGGGAACGAAGCTAAAGGAATGCTCAAGCGGTGGGCGGGATTTTTAAATTTGAAAGCAGTCTATTAAAGACAACAAAAATGCACTATCTGCGAAATTCGACTCTAGCATCATGCACACGCAATGTATGTTGTTAAACTTTTTTCTGGCATGCTCTTTTGCAGCATTCGATCATCAATGTGCCGCGTTATGTGTGAGCGATGGGAGCATTTGGGAGCAAGAACCTGCTTCAGATCGAGTCAACGGTTTAAATATAAGATAGTGATCTGATTTGATACAATTTGGAATATGTGAAACTACATGAACAGCTCCTTATGGATACTTAAGTTTTGGCACAGCAATATATTTTCATTCGACTGTTCCATCGCGAGTGTACGATTTTTATTAAAGTACAAAATCGCATGATTTTGGCTAGCCGTAAACGGTTAAGATTTCCTAGCTACCTAAATATTAATCTGCATCGGACAGCTGGATGCATTTGTAGATACACAGTTTGAGATATTTATGGCATTATCACTGAAGCCATGCTGAGTGACCTTGCACTTGGTAAAATGGGACGGCATATGCATGAAATAATGCTTGAAATAATCTACTGTTAGATTATTTTGATTGTTTAGTTGTAAATAAATATTCGTATCAGTATTATATTTAGAAACAAAGGAACACGTACAAACTGCACTTCTCCGCAGCTCAATTTGTTCAAGTACAGATTGCGGCGAAATTTTGTTATTGTTACATGAAACGATGGCATATCCATTTATATTTCAGCATACGATTGTCATATTGACGATCAACAATATCAAGTGAATATACATCAACAAATTCATTTGATTTATTTAGCGATTTTTAAAAGATCAATCGAAAATTAACGAGGGGGAACGTTGTGAGTTGCTGCGGACACCGCAACTCTACGGTTATACCCGATACTAAGTCAGTATGGCTCTCCTCCGGCAGACGCCGCTAATATTTAACGACACGACAAAGAGTGCGTGCGAGAGAGACAGAAAATCAGTCTGAGCGTGACGTCGGGCGCTGCGTAGCCACTGCAAATTGATTTGTTCCTTTTGGCTAAAAAAATGGTCTGATCCAGATTCAGCAATCTAATAGATATGGTCATTATCTATGATTCTGCGTTTTTAGTTTTCTCAAATCTGCAATATTGTGGATGCAACAGATTTTCGTCCTTTGTGGGGGCGGATGGGGGTGGGGCGAAATTCTGAGATATACGTTTTATAGTGACATCTTAAAGGAGTGTGTGCACCAAATTTGGTTACTCTAGCCTTAATAGTCTCTGAGATTTGTGGTTGCCTCAGATGTTCGTCCTTTGCGGGGGCGGAAGGGGGTGTGGCGAAATTTGGACAGGAAACGGTCAAGGTCCGATATCACAGGAGTGTGGATACCAAATTTGGTTGCTCTGGCTTTTATAGGTTCTGAGATCCTTGAACTCATATTTTGCAATTGGCAAAACCGACCATGAAACCTGTGTGTTAGAGTGAGACAGAGCGAGAAAGAGTGAAATTGTTTTCGTGATTCTGGCTGTAATAATTATACGATCTGGTTCAGATTTTGCACTCTAGAAGATATAGTCATCTTCTACGATTCTGCGTTTTTAGTTTTCTCGTATCGTCGAAATTGTGGATGCCACAGATTTTCGCCCTTTGTGGGGGCGGAAGTGGGCGGGGCAAAGTTTTGAAATATTTTTGGAGCAGTGACATATCACAGAAGTCTGGATCCAAAACATCGTTGCTCTAGCTCTTATAGTCTTTGAGCATTAGGCGCTGAAGGGGACGGACAGACGGACAGACGGACGGACGGACAGACAGACAGGGCTCAATCGACTCGGCTATTGATGCTGATCAAGAATATATATACTTTATAGGGTCGGAAACGATTCCTTCTGGACGTTACACACATCCACTTTTACCACAAATCTAATATACCCCAATACTCATTTTGAGTATCGGGTATAATAAGTTTCTATACGATTGGCTCATTTTTTAAAAGCTTTTCTTTTCATTATAACAAAATATTTCATTAATGAAGGTCTAAACAGGTTTTTTTATTTAAAGACAATTGTGATTACTTCCGTTAAAAAAACGTATAATACGCTATGAAACGCTATACCCTATCAAACATTAATTAATCATTATATGCACAAAGCATTTTCATTCGAGAATAGTAATAGTAAAAAATTCGTCAAGTTTGAATCAAAATTGTATTTTCCAAAAATGGATAAATACGAGGAAACAACGGAACTGCAGGATTCCACAGGCAATTGCAATTGCAAACAGAAGTTGAATTCCCGTCAGCTGTTCGACGACAACTTGGAGGACATTGCCACGAGCCTCGCACAGATAATGCTGATCTGTGGCATCAACACAACGAAGAGCTGCCAGGCCAAGGCCATTATCAGGCGGGCCTTTGTGTACCACGAAAAGCTGCGGACACAGTGGAACCCGAATGCGGCCCCAGAATCGCGTCTCAATCGAGATGAAATGCTGCAGGCTCTGCGCATCACGTGCGGGATGGAAAGCGTGGAGGCTGTGTTGTCGTATTCGATCATCAAGCGTGCATTTAAGGCATTCTTCCGCGGGAAGCCACCGGTGTCGCTCAGTAATCCGATTGTGGATGCCATGGCCATACGCAGACAGGAGCGGGCATGGATAAAAGCCGCCAAAGCGACGTCCAAGCTTTTTGACAACTATCAGTCGGCCTTCTTTTGGGCGCACAAGTTCTACGCGGAGCAGATTGATATGATCTACAGGGCGCTCTATAATCGCATGAGGGCCCGCTGTAGCCCGATCGAGGTCCCACTGTGCACCTGCCGTGGCTGCTCCAAGCAGGTGGTGCCGAAGAAGCTCACCCCCAAGGATGGCTATCATCTGCACAAGGCCAGTAGTCTGTGTGACCTGCCGCGCTGCGATGAGTGCAATGGTCGGTTCCTCATCTGTGAGGGCAACAGCGATAAACTAACGGCAGAGCAGTACGGGAAATGCGGCCAGGACTCGTACAAGGTAAAGTGGTGTTGCTTGGAGGATGAGCAACCGCAGCCCAAGCCCAAGTCGGCGTATGAAGCAGATATGGCACCAGAGGACGAGGACCATTACTGCCCCGTGGACTGCACTGAGTCCTCGGATGTGTGCCCTAGCGATGTTGGATCCTTGAATCTCTGCGATTGCGTGTCTTCGAGTGAGGATTCCATCCACCAAAAAACCCCATAGATCTTATCGACAATGTGGTGGACAAACTGGACGATTATTTCAACAAACTGAAGAGGTGGCCGAAAAGAAGAGCTCCCAGACGTATGTTACCTGGACCAGTCCAGGCCAGGACTAGACTATAAGCGTTGCAGGGAATGAGGATCGAGATCCAATTTGTTTCTACTTTTCTTTTTTTTTTTTAATTTTGGAAATACAAGAAATTTGAGTAATCGACAAGAATACCTACTCTTTTTTTGATGGATCCAGTTGGCTTTCCCGCTTCGGTTTTCTGTGATTTTCACCACTTCCAGCGTTTTCGGCTCTGGCGATTGCCAGGACAGTTTCTGTTGTTGCAAGGAGTTTCGGTACCTGGAGGACTTTCATCAGGTGAGTATATTTTTCAAGTCGGAGAATGAATTCTTTAAGTAATTCAAATTAGCTTTCATATTTTTCGCCAATATTTGTCCTCTCGTTGTTTCCCAGCTCTTTGTTTGTTCTTCCTTTAGTTTCATAGAAGCACTTCCACTTAGTCATGAATATTTGATACATTCCTATAAACATTTGGAACTTTAATTATAATCTATATGCAGTACAAACATATGTACATATATATTCTCTTATTTGAGACTGGAGTTTTAGATCCTCCTCTTAGATCAAAGAGTAGACGAATCGTTTTGGAAAAAAGTCGAAATATTTAATATTTATTATATGTATAGTACAGTCTTAAGGTTACGCTTAGAAATTCTAGAGCAAAATATGTCTTTCATTTGATTTGAATGCTTAACCAATAGATTTTCTCCTGTTCTAATAGTTGCAATTGCTTTTCGTTACTCAATTTTGAAGGTTTAGTTTAACATTTTTTTTTTGTATAAGGCCACATTTCCTGGTTTATATACTTCAGTATATATAGGCATATAGGATTTTTTAAACGTTGTTTTCTTTTAGCTCAGCTAATTTATGTAGTTGTTAAAATTGCAGATACAATACAAATCTATTTACAAAAAAAATACTCGTACAGTACAATTTGAAGGTAGGTCTACGCAGGGTAGAAATGTGGTCGGTTGTCGGTGTCCAGTTTTCAGAGCTATAACTTTGTTCGCAGCTTTGGGATTACACATACTCGTGGATAATTAAAGTAAACGAGGAACCGAATATTGAAACTAATCTAATCGGAATCGTAACTACATAACGACTATAGAGTGGTGTTTGCCATCTAAATACTAGAAATAAATAGACAACGGCATTATTAACTAACTAAAGCATAGGCATAGGCATCGAGGTGGTGTTTGAGGGGAGGGGGCGGGCTGCTGCTGGCTTTGAGCACCTTAATACGAACTTACGTACAAAAACATTGCATTACTCCTACTTCTCTAGGCTATTACGATATGGGCGGACTTTAGAATATCTTTTTGTTTGCTTTGCTAATCGAATTTCAATCGAAGCTTAAACTAAATAAGTCGTTCCTCTGGCGGCGGCTTCAGCACATTGTCCATTTCCAGCCTCGGATTGCAGTACTCCTGGGCGCTGGGGCTGTAGGTGCCGCGCGTGGCACGCTTGTTGCGCGCCATCACCAGGAAGGTGCCCAGCAGTGCTCCGGCAATCAGAAGCAACACCACCACAACGGGTATAACAATGATGGCTATATCTGTCGTCGATGGGCCATCCTCCTTGGCAACGATCTATATAACAGCGATGAGTCAGAGAACTATCAGTTCTATACTACCATAAAGATTTTAATTTATACTCACCGGTGCCGTGCAATTCTTGCCCGCAAATCCTTCCGTGCAAACGCAATAGTAGTCCGGTTCTGTACCGCAGTTCTCCATGCAGCGGCCTCCATTGCCGCAAATATCAGTGGCATTGCAGGGATCCGTAAAGTTGCAATATGCTCCGCAGTAGGGCTTCTCGCATATGCACTGGAAGGAGCCGCGCTTGTTGAAGCACCGACCCAATCCGCCACAATACTCTCCCTCCACACTGCACTCGTCAATGTCGTTTTCGCAGTGAACTCCCTCGAATCCAGTGCCGAGGCAGTTGCATTCGTAGGCCCCCACTAGATCCTTGCACTTGCCTTCGTTCTGGCAGGGGTTCGAGTCGCATTCGTTGATGTCCTGCTCGCACAGACGACCCGTGTAGCCCAGGCTGCATTTGCACATGGGTGACTGGAATCCAAGCAGCGTTAGTACGCATTCGATTTGGGATTGTATTTATGATTTCTTACCACGCCTGTGGTCAGGCAGAGGCCGCCATTGTCGCAGGGCGTTCGCTCACAGAAGGGCACATCGCACAGGGTACCCTCAAAGCCTGCGGCGCAGGTGCAAGTAAAGTTATTGCCAGTTAATCCATCTGCAGAGAAAAATTATGTTCAAGGGTATGTTCAAAGAAGGGGCATTACCCCGGTGTACTCACTGAAACCGTTCTCGCAGGTGGATCCATTCCGGCAAGGCTCGTTCTCGCACGTCATCTGCTTGAGGACATCGCATTGGGGACCGGTGTAGTCCTCCGGACAATCGCAGAAATAGGCCGCAATCAGATCCGTACAATTGCCACCATTTTGGCAGGGCTGCATGGCGCATTCGTCGATATTCTGCTCGCAGTAGCGTCCCTCAAATCCTTCGGGGCACTGGCAGAAAAAGTCTGCCACCTGGTTGATGCAGGTGCCGTTGTTCTTGCACACCGTGTTGAGGCACTCATCGATGTCGATGGAGCAATCATCGCCCTCGTAGCCCGCCTGGCAGGTGCACGCATACTCGTCGGACGGGGCCCGACAAAAGCCATCGTTCCGGCAGTCCGTCTGGAAGCACAGAATGCATCCCTCGTCGGGCCGTGTTGTGTTCAAACGGAACTGGGCCTTAAGCTGCACGGACACGTTCTCGGTGCGGGGATACAGTTCGGCATTGGAGAAGTACGGCAGCAGCAGATCGCCCACACGCGCCTCACCCACACATCCCTTGAACTGGGAGCCTTGCTGGGCGGACAGAGTGGAGCCACGCGACTGACGCGACTCGGGCATGCCGCCCAAGTAGACCTGGGTGCTGCTCGACAGCAAATACTGGATAGCTGCCTGGTCAATGTCGACGGAGAAGGATGGGGCCGGATCCACCATGGACTCCCAGCCCTTCCAGCCGCCCTCCAGCTTGCCATTGTGGGCCCTCAGAAAGATGCGGCTCCACTCCCCGTCGGCGTTCTCTTTCTCGAACCGCGTGGACTCGCCAATATGCAGTTGGGTGAGCTTCCAGGTGATGGTCACGCGTCCCCCATTGACGCCAATCTCGAAGAAACTGTCTGCATTGTCGATGAACAGAAGAGTTCCGCCGGCCCGTGTCCGATAGGCAATCTCAATGGACGGCTTGAGGGTTTGCTTGGGGGCAGTTTCTCCACCAGTTTCCTCGGCCGGTGGTGGCTCCTGGAAGTAGAAGAAGGCCAGCGGGCTGCGTTCCCGGCCCGTGAATGTGGTATTGGTCAGACATTCGTAGCCATCGTCCAGGTTCTGGCAGACACTCTCGCCGGGACAGGTGACCAGCTGGCAGAATTCGATCTCCTGGCAATCCTTGCCCTTGTAGCCATTGGGACACTTGCAACTGTAGTCGTTCCACGTGTTGCGGCACTCGGCATTGTGTCGGCAGGGATTCTTGCGGCATAGATCGTCGGATACCTCGCCAGGCAGCACCGAGGCACGGTCAATGCTGACCGCTCCAAGGGGCTTGGCATTCACTTGCACATCCGTAACATTGAGCGGATACATCTCCACAATAAGATTGAGTGATCCATTGCTCACTTTCACGTCCTGGATGATGCCCTTGAAGTAGTCCTTGCTGTCATCTGTCGTCTCCTTGCTGAGCACCGTGACACTCTCGTCCACTCCAGGCTCTGTGCTGGCGGGCAGCAGGGATTCACGCGTCGGCGCAGGGCCGCCCAAGTATAGCACCTGTGCATCCAGCAGACCCGTCGTCGACAGCGTCTTGCGGAAGTACTCGGTACCATTGAGCTTGACCTGCACCAGTGTCTGATTGCGAACCACCTCGATGAGATGATTGTAGCCATTATCCAGCTTCTGTCCACCCACGGTGTAGGCCTCGGGTGTCCCCGAGAACTGCATCTTCACCAGCAACTCGCCGCCATGGAGCTTGGCCGAAACATACGAGTCACCAATGTCTAAAAGAAGGAAAGGCAGATTAAAGATTAAATATTACAAAAAGGATATGGGGTATTTGCCACGTCCCTTCCGGCCTTCAAAAAGGCGAAAATCTGATAGATATTCTAGTATCGAAAATGCATAACTATTAAACATTCCATTATATTCCAGATAGCAGAATCTGAAGTAGTTTGGATCATTATTAAAGAATCCCCTGTTACGGATTCGCTCTCTCATAATTTTTCTCGCCAAGTGAGCGCCCCCTGGCGGAGTGAGCGAGTTTTCGTTGGTTGAAAGAGAGACAGAGAGATGTAACGGAAGGAAGTAAGCAGCTAGAATATTTGTCATTAGGCGGAAGGAGGATGGACAGATTAGAGTGCAATCTATGACAGAATTAGAACACTGACGCTAACGCTCGCTCTCTCTATCTCTGTCCGCAGTGGCGGAATTTTGAGATTACATACATACATACAATATATTAACTGAGTACCGGGTATTATAGTATAGTAATCAGGCTGATTTTACTCACTTTTGGTGGGTGCCTTGCGTGGATCGCTGCCCAAATAGAAGACCTGCCCCGTGGGCTCTCGAGTGCGTATAAACATGGATATATCTAGAATAGAGCGTATGGCTCGTCTGCCCACATCGGTGGTCTCCACAATCACAGCCGAATGTGTGGTATTCTCATGCCCAAAAGTAGCTGCTGTCATATCTAAAAATCGAAAAGGAACAGTCAAAAATGATGCTTAACGGAATCCCTAAATCCATCCACTTACTGTGCTGGCAGGTGTGTCCAAAGAAGGGCCTAGGACAGTGGCAGGCAAACGTGTGCCACAGATCCGTGCACTCGCCATTCGAGTGGCAGGGATTCGGTTTGCATTGCTCGGTGCGTGGACAGCCGCTTTGGACATTCTCCAGCTTGGTATCCCCGTACGTAAAATTGGCGCTCTGCTCGTCGGGGAAGATCCATTTTCCATTGACGACTATGTCCTGCATGCAGCCCACAAAGGCCGACGGTTGGTGCGTCAAATGCCGCAGATATGACTTTAGATTGGGTATCGTTCCGCCCAAATAGGTACGTGGGAACGAGGGCTGGCTG